GACTTTATCGAAAGAACCAAGAATATGAATCCCTGCAGTCACGAAAGCTTTAAATCAAATGTCTCATAGATGTAGCCTATTTACTGTATATACACTTTTTCCCCCTTTTAAGGCCACAGTGTTAGTGACACTACGTGCCCTTTGTCATCCGGCTACCCAAACACAAACATGCTCTGATAATTAATATATGGGCATTGTCTTTGAAACAGATTGGCCTACACGAGAGAAGCCTTCTTCAGAGCCTAGTCTCACCACCAGTGGCAGAGCAGAGAACGCCAGAAGGCGAACAGCACAAGGACCATGCCACTCTCAGGGCATTTATAACTCGGGTGAGCAGCTACATCATGGGACCTTACTTGACTTGTAAATGTTGTAGTGGGTTTACTCTCCAACACACAACCGGCGAGTAGCATCTAATTGGCACGTTTTGTTAGCGTGACAAACCCTTTCAAATTGGCTGTCGGGTGGTGGAGGATTTAATGACACATTTATATTTACGGGATCTAACCCAAAAAAATAGAACCTCTGCTATGGCTAGATCTCTGAACCGCCCTCCCCCACAGGTCCAGCTTGCACCACGCCGCTCGCGCCGGCATGGTGAAGTATGGTCACACAACTCCCGTGGCTGACACGGCATTGGCCGTCGTTAGACCCAGCAGCATTTGGCTGCTACACATTTCCACGTGATGATGATGACAAGCCGCTTGGTTTGAGCTATCATTTGTGATGGCCAGGTCGCTTCTGAAACAGTGCTATGTAGCTCAGTGGGACCTTACCTGGTAAAAAAAAAAATCGTTATTATTGTATTCACCAAAAAATAGTTTAATTTTTATTTTAGTAAAAATAACTAAAACTTATACAGCAGCAATCATTGCCCCCTCCTGGCAGACGAATCCCAGTCATATAAAGAGATAACGAACTTGGTCTGATTGCAGGGCCTTCTTTGGGGTGCCAGGGTGGCTAGGAGATGTTAACTACCTCGCCTGGTATACAGGAGGCCGTGGGTGCGATCCCGACCCTGCTGCATATTTGGGGTTTGCGTGTGTGTCTCTCTCTCTCTCCCCGTGGTCGTGTGGATTTCTCTCCGGGACCTCCGGTTCCCCCCCCCCCCCCCCCCCACATTTAGGATCAACATCACGCATTTAGAGTATTTGGTTACTGCTATACATGTCAACGTGATGATGATAAGCCCACGTCGTTGAGCTATTATTTGTGGCCAGGTCACACCTGAACAAGATCTGTATATCTCAGTGGGGCCTTGCCTGGTCAAATACCTTGCCTGGTCAAATCACGCATTACGGACATCAGAAACAACATCATTGAACAAACGGAGGGCTGTAAATGCTTGGGTTTACTGATCGATTCATAACGGACAGTCCAACCCCGTATCGATCACATGGCGAAGAAAATGAAATAAAAATTGTGGTTTTCATACAGAAACATAGTATCCCCATTCGAATGCGCCTGAAAATTGTTGAAGCTATCAATCTCCGACTGTTCGACAACTGTGACGCTGCTTACAGATCAGCTCCTAATGAATCACTGAACAGACGAAGCCAGATTTTTTCATTCTGCTGTTCGATTTGCAGAGGGTGTACCGTACAGGATCCTCCATTGTGACCTCTGCTTAAAATCCCAATCTCACATCACTTGGCCCTGTTCATCCATAGAACCCTGATTGGAAAAGCTGCTCTATGCTTAGCGAATTCACTCGCGCCATTGTCAAGTCCAAGAAACCTAAGGCGTCTTTCGGATTACCTTTTAACTATCCCTAAACAAGAATTAGAAGAGGTGACACAAAGCCTTTGCCGTTGCAGCACCAACGTTTTGGAACAACCTCGTTGCCTCCCTTTGCATCGTAAATCTTCACTTAAAGCTTTCGTGACTACAGGAATTCAAATTATTGGGTCTTTCGGTAAAGTCCACGTGACTTTACCGAAAGACCCAAGAATATCGTAAATCTTCCTTCAAAATATATGTTACGTATGTGTGTGTGTATGTTGAGCTTTTTGTTCACCTGATGCAGCCAACCGTGCTAATCAGATGTGCGCGGGAAAGACAACAACACTAAGCAGAGCAAACTAAATATCCGAAAGCAGAAAATCAGTGCTGGACACAACCAAATTTGCCAATGTGCTTTGTGACTTTCATTGTTACACATCGGTAGGTCAATTTTAAAGTGTAATTTTATCTAGGGGCTGAATGTTGTTGTCTTGGTGTGGTCTGCGACTGTTGTTATCGCTTTGCTGCCTTGCCCCAAAATTTCACTTAGTGTTAAAAAGTCGGACATATACTTTATTTATCTTTACAGTGACTCCTCTATGAACGCACATTCAAAGATACGAACAAACCTGTCCATATGTCCAGTTGCCCGTTCGGACTGAGAGTCGTAAGTTCAACCGCAGCGCAATAAATGGCGGTGGTGGCATCTACATCTGCAGAACGTAAAGAACCAGTGGCATCTACATCTGCAGAACATGAAGAACCAGTGGCATCCACATCTGCAGAACATGAAGAACCAGTGGTATCCACATCTGCAGAACGTAAAGAACCAGTGGCATCTACATCTGCAGAACATGAAGAACCAGTGGCATCTACATCTGCAGAACGTGAAGAACCAGTGGCATCTACATCTGCAGAACGTGAAGAACCAGTGGCATCTACATCTGCAGAACATGAAGAACCAGTAGCATCTACATTTGCAGAACATGAAGAACCAGTGGCATCCACATCTGCAGAACGTGAAGAACCAGTGGCATCTACATCTGCAGAACGTGAAGAACCAGTGGCATCTACATCTGCAGAACGTGAAGAACCAATGACATCTACATCTGCAGAACGTGAAGAACCAGTGGCATCTACATCTGCAGAACATGAAGAACCAGTGGCATCTACATCTGTAGAACATGAAGAACCAGTGGCATCTACATCTGCAGAACATGAAGAACCAGTGGCATCTACATCTGCAGAACGTGAAGAACCAGTGGCATCTACATCTGCAGAACGTGAAGAACCAGTGGCATCTACATCTGCAGAACGTGAAGAACCAGTAGCATCTACATCTGCAGAACATGAAGAACCAGTGGCATCCACATCTGCAGAACGTAAAGAACCAGTGGCATCTACATCTGCAGAACGTGAAGAACCAGTGGCATCTACATCTGCAGAACATGAAGAACCAGTGGCATCTACATCTGCAGAACGTGAAGAACCAGTGGCATCTACATCTGCAGAACATGAAGAACCAGTGGCATCTACATCTGCAGAACGTGAAGAACCAGTGGCATCTACATCTGTAGAACGTGAAGAACCAGTGGCATCTACATCTGCAGAACATGAAGAACCAGTGGCATCTACATCTGCAGAACGTGAAGAACCAGTGGCATCTACATCTGCAGAACGTGAAGAACCAGTGGCATCTACATCTGCAGAACGTGAAGAACCAATGACATCTACATCTGCAGAACGTGAAGAACCAGTGGCATCTACATCTGCAGAACGTGAAGAACCAGTGGCATCTACATCTGCAGGACGTGAAGAACCAGTGGCATCTACATCTGCAGAACGTGAAGAACCAGTAGCATCTACATCTGAAGAGCGTGAAGAACCAGTGGCATCTACATCTGCAGAACGTGGAGAACCAGTGGCATCTACATCTGCAGAACGTGAAGAACCAGTGGCATCTACATCTGCAGAAAGTGGAGAACCAGTGGCATCTACATCTGCAGAACGTGAAGAACCAGTGGCATCTACATCTGCAGAACGTGGAGAACCAGTGGCATCTACATCTACAGAACGTGAAGAGCCAGTGGCATCTACATCTGTAGGAGATTATAGAACTTTTAAAGCCATTCCCCGTGTTTAGTCTACATGCCGTACAATACGTTTGTAATCGACAGGAGTAAAGTTGGATTTAGGAACAAATCGACTTCTGGAACCTGACTCGTTCATAAGTAGAGGAGTCCCTGTATTTATATTATCTGAGTGACTTTCTTTCCTTTTTCTATACGTTGCACTGCTATCGTTGTTTTGTGCATTGTGTTTGTTTGCCGCTGTTACTCTCGGATCCCGTGGCGCCTACCAGACATCTGTGAGAAAGAGCTTCATAGCTCATCGGATTTCTCCTCCTCCTGCTCCTCCCGCGGTCGCAAAGATTGTGATTCTAATAAATCCACACGCGTCTGTGACGGGGCGTGTTTGACTCTGTGTGTGTCATTTGTATTGCAAGCACCGTTATTGTACATTCCGTTCTGGGATTGGTTGTCGTCTAGACGATGTGTCGTTCTTGTCGTTTTCTTCTCCCGAGTTTCGCCCATTCCCTCGTTCCCTCCACCCCGCTGCGATCTTCTTCTGTGAACGCCGCCACTGCCGGCGCTCGTGGGCCTGCGCCGGTCCTGCTAACGGCGCGGCCGCTCGGCTCAACGGGGTGGGGGCCCTCGCCAGCTGACGCGCAACAAAAATCCTGGGGGCTTTTGCAGGCCACAGTGCAGAGTCAGCCGACTCGTCGTGCCCGTAGGGACAGCTGCCGCTCGGATGGGGGGGGGGGGGCCCTGTCAGAGACGTGATGCGCAGAGCACCCCGCCGGCGGCCAAGCGGTAACCCTCCTGGACATTGCCGCCGGCGGCTCTTGGTAAGGGGCGAGGCGGTGGGAAGGCGAGGTGGGGGTGGGGGTGGCGAGATTGAGGGGGGCCGAGATGCCCTCTTCGCCAGGGGGTTACCGTCCGCGGTGGGCTGGGCTCGTGGTGGAAGCCACCGCCACCGTCACCGTCACCGCCACCGTCACCATCACCGCCACCGACAATGCCACCACACCGCCACCGTCACCGCCACCGTCACCGCCACCATCACCGCCACCACACCGCCACCATTACCACCACCACCACCACCACCGCCACCGCCACACCACCACCACCACCACACCGCCACCACCACCACCACCACCACACCGCCACCACCGCCACCGCCACCACACCGCCACCACCACCACACCATCACCGCCACCACACCGCCACCGCCACACCGCCACCACCACACTGCCACCGCCACCACACCGCCACCGCCACCACTGCCGGGTTTCACCGGGGGGAGGAGCGCCTCTTGGCTGCGTCGAGCGACTGCTTCAGTGCCACCTCCTCCACGAAGCGAGCGTCGACGCAGCCCGCCACCTCCTGCTCGTGGCCGGCCACTGCGTGGGGGGAGGTGGGGGGGGAGGGTGGGGTGGGGGGGGGCAGTCCGACCAGTCCAGCGTGCTTGTTTAAACAGTGGCCCCCGACGTGAATGAATCACAAAACAAACTCGACCACGTTCACGGCTCCGGCTCACGCGGTGGCTTCCAGAGACGAGCGAACGAGTGAGCCGGCTCGGCCTTGGCTCGCGAGACATCCCCAGCACGGCTAAGGAGCCCCGCCTCCCCGTGGACCCACCACCATCACCACCACCACCATCACCACCACCACCGTGCTACCACCACCACGATCACCACCGTGCTACCACCACCACCATCACCACCACCACCACCATCACCACCACCACCACCATCACCACCACCACCACCATCACCACCACCATCACCACCACCACCGTGCTACCACCACCACCACCACCGTGCTACCACCACCACCGTGCTACCACCACCACCACCGTGCTACCACCACCACCATCACCACCACCACCACCATCACCACCACCATCACCACCACCACCACCATCACCACCACCATCACCACCACCACCGTGCTACCACCACCACCACCACCGTGCTACCACCACCACCGTGCTACCACCACCACCACCGTGCTACCACCACCACCACCACCAGCGAGTCAACCACGGGGAGGGACACAACCGCCCGGCTGCCGGAATGCAGCGGTGCCTCCAAGGGGGGGGCAGGGAAGAGGGGAGGGGGGAGCGATGAGGGGGGAGGCGATGGGGCCGGGGGGGTGATGAGGGGAGGGACGATGGGGGGGGCAATGGGGGGGGGGGCGATGGAGACACACATCGGCACGGTACAGTAACACGCCGGTTTACGACGACGAATGTCGAAACGACGTACAGGGTGGTAGCACGGTGGTGGTGGTGGTGGTAGCAGCACGGTGGTGGTGGTGGTGGTGATGGTGGTGATGGTGGTAGCACGGTGGTGGTGGTGGTGATGGTGGTGGTGGTGATGGTGGTGGTGGTGATGGTGGTGGTGGTGATGGTGGTGATGGTGGTGGTGGTGATGGTGGTAGCACGGTGGTGGTGGTGGTGATGGTGGTGATGGTGGTGGTGGTGGTGATGGTGGTGGTAGCACGGTGGTGGTGGTGGTGATGGTGGTGGTGGCGGAGGCTGAGAGGCGACGGATAACGAGAGAGGATGGGCGACGGTGCTAGCGGCGACGCGTGTGTGGTTGAAGGCGACGCTAAATCGGGTCGTGGTGTTTGCTCGTGAAGTGACGTGTGAGCGACACGACGTAGACCAGGGATAGTGCTCCGTGTGCGTCTGCTATTGGCGCGTCCACGCACGGCACGGCCAGGGCCAGACGCCCCCCCTCCCCCCACCTTGGCGCTCGATGTCCAGCAGGCGGTCGATGAAGCTGCGCAGCGGGAGGAAGTCGCTCTGCGAGGACTCCTTCTCGGGGGGGGCGGCGGCGGCGGCGGGGTCCTGGCGCGGGCACGGGGGGAGCGGGTCAGGGGCCGATCACGCAGCGGGGCCCACGGTCACCGTGGTCGCGGCCGCTCCAAACGAGCCGGGCGAACGACTTTCGGTAAACTGAAACCAGCGCAACGCTGACGACGCTCGCGGCGGGTTGGCGCGGTCGGGGGCACAGCTGGGCGCGTCCCGGGACCTCCTGCCGGCGGCGAGCCGTGCACGCTCCGCGTTGCCTCGAGGGGCACCTAACCCGGCACGAGCGCCGTGGGGATTCACCTGCCGCCTCCTCGCCCAGGGGCCGAGCGCATGCAGCCGTGCGGCGTAGCGCTGCGCCAGGCTGAACGACGCGGCCGGACTCTCCCACAGCTGGTAGACCGCGTCGGCCTGGGGCTGCCCGGACAACACCGTCGTCATCAACATCGTCATCAACATCATCGTCGTCAACATCGTCGTCGTCATCAACATCGTCGTCGTCAACATCGTCATCAACATCATCGTCGTCAACATCGTCGTCAACATCATCATCATCGTCGTCAACATCATCATCGTCAACATAATTGTCGTCAACATTATCATCGTCGTCAACATAATCGTCACCACCACCATCGCCGTCACTGTTGACCCGTGAGCGCCCCACCGTGAGTCTCACGGCTCTCCGGCCTGACCGGTTCGCACTCCCCCAGCGCTGCAGCGGAGGTCGTGGAGCTCCGTGGGGCCCAGCGCCCCTCTGGACCGCTCCTCCTCCTTGGCCGGCCCAGCAGCCGCGACGTCTCGTGGACACGCGCCCCCCCCCCCCGCCAAGTGTAGGGGTTCTACAGGGCCCCCCCCACTACCCCCCCCCACTACCCCCCCCGCCAAGTGTAGGGGGTCTACAGGGCCCCCCCCCCCACTCACCTGCGATAGCCGAGACAGAACCGCATACTTCGCCTGCTCATTCTTCGGGCTGTCGTCCAAGTCTGCAAGCGCAAACAAAACAAAAACCAGATGATGGTGGACAACAACAACAACAAAATATAAATGACTGTGCTACGGTCCGCCGAGAACACGGACGGCAAGGGGAGCGGCATCATTCGCTTGGCCTCGGGGGCTGTTTACAAGCTCCTATTGAGGCCTTGGGGGCTGTTTGCAAGTTCCTATTGAGGCCTTGGGGGCTGTTTGCAAGCTCCTATTGAGGCCTTGGGGGCTGTTTACAAGCTCCTATTGAGGCCTTGGGGGCTGTTTGCAAGCTCCTATTGAGGCCTTGGGGGCTGTTTGCAAGCTCCTATTGAGGCCTTGGGGGCTGTTTGCAAGCTCCTATTGAGGCCTTGGGGGCTGTTTGCAAGCTCCTATTGAGGCCTCAAGGGCTGTTTGCAAGCTCGTATTGAGGCCTTGGGGGCTGTTTGCAAGCTCCTATTGAGGCCTTGGGGGCTGTTTGCAAGCTCCTATTGGGCCTTGGGGGCTGTTTGCAAGCTCCTATTGAGGCCTTGGGGGCTGTTTGCAAGCTCCTATTGAGGCCTCAAGGGCTGTTTGCAAGCTCGTATTGAGGCCTTGGGGGCTGTTTACAAGCTCCTATTGAGGCCTTGGGGGCTGTTTGCAAGCTCCTATTGAGGCCTTAGGGGCTGTTTGTAAGCTCCTATTGAGGCCTTGGGGGCTGTTTGCAAGCTCCTATTGAGGCCTCGGGGCCGTTTGCAAGCTCCTATTGAGGCCTTGGAGGCTGTTTGTAAGCTCCTATTGAGGCCTTGGGGGCTGTTTGCAAGCTCCTATTGAGGCCTTGGGGGCTGTTTGCAAGCTCCTATTGAGGCCTTGGGGGCTGTTTGCAAGCTCCTGTTGAGGTCTTGGGGGCTGTTTGCAAGATCCTATTGAGGCCTTGGGGGCTGTTTGTAAGCTCCTGTTGAGGCCTCGGGGGCTGTTTGCAAGCTCCTATTGAGGCCTTGGGGGCTGTTTGCAAGCTCCTATTGAGGCCTTGGGGGCTGTTTGTAAGCTCCTATTGAGGCCTTGGGGGCAGTTTGCAAGCTCCTATTGAGGCCTTGGGGGCTGTTTGCAAGCTCCTATTGAGGCCTTGGGGGCTGTTTGCAAGCTCCTATTGAGGCCTCAAGGGCTGTTTGCAAGCTCGTATTGAGGCCTTGGGGGCTGTTTACAAGCTCCTATTGAGGCCTTGGGGGCTGTTTGCAAGCTCCTATTGAGGCCTTAGGGGCTGTTTGTAAGCTCCTATTGAGGCCTTGGGGGCTGTTTGCAAGCTCGTATTGAGGCCTCGGGGCCGTTTGCAAGCTCCTATTGAGGCCTTGGAGGCTGTTTGTAAGCTCCTATTGAGGCCTTGGGGGCTGTTTGCAAGCTCCTATTGGGGCCTTGGGGGCTGTTTGTAAGCTCCTATTCAGGCCTTGGGGGCTGTTTGCAAGCTCCTATTGAGGCCTTGGGGGCTGTTTGCAAGCTCCTGTTGAGGCCTTGGGGGCTGTTTGCAAGATCCTATTGAGGCCTTGGGGGCTGTTTGTAAGCTCCTGTTGAAGCCTTGGGGGCTGTTTGCAAGCTCCTGTTGAGGCCTCGGGGGCTGTTTGCAAGCTCCTATTGAGGCCTTGGGGGCTGTTTGCAAGCTCCTATTGAGGCCTTGGGGGCTGTTTGTAAGCTCCTATTGAGGCCTTGGGGGCTGTTTGCAAGCTCCTATTGAGGCCTTGGGGGCTGTTTGTAAGCTCCTATTGAGGCCTTGGGGGCTGTTTGCAAGCTCCTATTGAGGCCCCTGCGGCCCCTCTCCAGTGGCAGGTCTCTTCGGTCTCACGGCGGCGGCCTTCGCAAATCCCTCCCGCCGCCACCGCCGTCCGGCCAGCGGCGTGAGGGGGTTCACGCCACAGCCGGACTGTGATTGGCCGGTCGTGTGTGGTGGGGTCAAGCGTGGGGACTCTTATTTACTATTACAACTACTTTGTAATTAAATTTTTTTCCAGGTAATGCCCCACTGAGCTACTACACAGCTCTTTGTATCAGTAGCGACCCTGGCTATCACGAACGATAGCTCGACAGAAGGGTCTCATCATCATCAGCATCATGTGGGCATTCATAGCAGCCGAATGCTCTAAGCGTGTGACGTTCATTCTAAAATGTAGTGGGGAAAAAACCGGAGGAGCCAAAGAAAAATCCGCTTCAGGGTGGGAATCGAACCGACGACCTCCTCCTGTACACCAGGTGAGGCAGTGGACATCTCGCCACTGTGACGCCCAACATCTTCCAAGACGTCGGGCTAGCGTGGAAGAGTAGGCCAAAACTGCCCTCCAGAGGGGCTCTCTGGAGGGCCCTCGAGCCCTCCCACCAGCAGAGGTGTGGGCGAGAAATTGCAGGGCTGCGCCTTTATCTTTTCTTGACCCCGGAAAACCTCGCTGAGTCTCAAGACTCTGTCTCAGGAGGGTCCTGCCAAGTCTTCGCAGGAGGGGAAGGGGGTGGGGGGATGGGGGGGAGGGGGATGCGTGGGGGGTGGGGCGATGGGGAGTGGGGGAATGAGGGGGTGGGGGTTTAGGGGGGTGGGCGATGGGGGGGCGTTGGGTGAGGTGACAAGCCCTGTGTGTGTGCAACCCCAGTCGAGTGGTGCCACTCCACTCACACAGCCCCCCCCCCAGCCCCCACTCGCTGTGCAGGAGGCGGAAGGGGCCACTGCGGCGAGCGTCACCGTGGAAGAGTCTCTGCACGAAGGAGTCGGTGAGCTGCAGCGTCCCCTGGTCCACCATGAGCAGGAACGAGTGGAGGGGCATGCTGCGGTAACCCAGAGTGCACTGCAGGCTCTTGAAGCCTGCGGGGTGCGGCCGTCAGTCGGCACGGGCGAGAGGGCGAGAGGCTGGGCTCGCGTTGACCGGGCGGGGGAGTCGCGAGGCCACCGCAGCAGTGAGTGAGTGAGTGAACGATTTGAGTGGGCGAGTGAGTGGGTAAAAATGTGTGGGTAAGTTGGAGTGGGTGATTGAGTGGGTAAGTGGGTGGGTGAATGGGTGAGTGGGTGAGTGAGTGGGTGAGTGGGTGAGTGAGTGGGTGAATGATTGAGTGGGTAAGTGGGTGGGTGAGTGGGTAAGTGGGTGGGTGAATGGGTAAGTGCGTGAGTGAGTGGGCGAGTGAGCAAGTGGGTGAGTCAGTAATTGGGTGATAGGGTGAGTGAGGTGGTTGGTGAGTTAGTGAATGAGTAAAGCGAGTGGATACATGAGTGGATGAGTGTGTAATAGGGTGAGTGGGTGAATGAGCGAGTGGGTGAATGAGCGGGTGAGTGAGTGGGTGAGTGACTGGCTAAGTTAGTGAGTGAGTGGGTGAGTGAGTGGCTAAGTTAGGGAGTGAGTGGGTGAGTGAGTGATTGAGTGGGTGGGTGAATGTGTGCGTGAATAAGTAAGTGCGTGGGGGTGTGGGTGAATCATTGAGGTGAGTGAATGGTGAGTGAATGGGTCAGTGGGTGAAGTGAGCTGATGAGTGAGTCGGCGAATAAGTGGGTGAGTGAATGACTGAGTGGGTAAGTGGGTGGGTGAATGAGTGAGGGAGTTGGTGATAGGGTGAGTGTGATGGCAGTTGAGTGACTGAGTGGGTGAGTGAGTGAGTGGGTGAGTGGGTGAATCATTGAGCAGGTGAGTAAGTGGGTGCTCGGGTGAGTGAGTGGGGGAGTGAATGAGTGGCTATCGTGAGTGGCAGAGTTAAAGTGTTGATATTGTCCAGGTGAGAACTCGAGATGACGATTAGTCTAATTTGCAAGAGTGACCTGGGTCAATAAAACATCAAGGGCACTCAGTCATACCCCAAAACAACCACCAGTCCACTGGCGTGGTGGAGCGAGTGGTGGAGTGAGTGGTGGAGCGAGTGGTGGAGCGAGTGGCAGTGGTGGAGCGAGTGGTGGAGCGAGTGGTGGAGCGAGTGGGAGTGGTGGAGCGAGTGGTGGAGCGAGTGGTGGAGCGAGTGGTGGAGCGAGTGGGAGTGGTGGAGCGAGTGGTGGAGCGAGTGGCAGTGGTGGAGCGAGTGGTGGAGCGAGTGGGAGTGGTGGAGCGAGTGGTGGAGCGAGTGGTGGAGTGAGTGGTGGAGTGAGTGGTGGAGCCAGTGGTGGAGCGAGTGGTGGAGCGAGTGGCAGTGGTAGGGCGAGTGGTGGAGCGAGTGGTGGAGCGAGTGGAGGTGGAGGAGGCACCGCCAGGGAGAGGGAAGCCGAGCTGTGCGGCGGCGTCCCCCAGCCGCAGGACGAGCGGCAGCATCCCGGCCTCCGCTGTCCCCGCCTTGCGGGCACTGCTGGCCCGGACAAAGATAAAGACAAAGATCCCCCGTGTAGTCTATTAACAGACTGCTGGCACCATTAAAGGCCGGCACGGCACACAAGGGGGGTGGGTGGCCAGCACCACGCCAGGCCGCCTTTGTCTCCCCAGTGGCGATGTTGGGGCGAGCTGCCGGGGCGAGTTGCTGGGGCGAGAGAGGCGTAGAAACTCACAGACACACGGAGTCCCAGGTGATTCCGTAGGCCGCCCAGACCGACTCCAGCAGATGGGTCACCTGCTGCAGCTGAGGGCGACAACCGGGGGGAGGGGAGGAGGTCACGGAGCGAGAGGTCACGGAGCAAGAGGTCACGGAGCGAGAGGTCATGGAGCGAGAGGTCATGGAGCGAGAGGTCATGGAGCGAGAGGTCACGGAGCGAGGGGTCACGGTGTCGCACGGTCACATCTCGTCGGGGTTAGGTTAGCGCTATCCTTCGGTCGGCGCGGGTTGGCTACGTAGGGTGTGAAAGAAGCTCCACATGCACACGTGGGTTAGTTAGTTTTTTTTGGTGTCACAGGTGAAAGCCCATTGGGGCAATAATTGCACGTTTTAAATGGGGACCCTGGTTACAGCTACAACAACAACAGCAAGCACCACGGACGACGCAACCCAACAACCACCGTGCAAGGTGAAGTTACGAGCGGCAAGGTCGCGGCATCGGCGTCGTGGTACCACCGGGTACAAGGCGAGGAGGACGCCAAGCCGCGAACGACGAATACGTTCCTAAAGCCTGCAGAGCGATCGATCGATCGCACACCCCGCCGATCTCGTCCAAGGAGCGCAAACTCCACTCAGCCTCGCGGCGGCGGCAGCTTGGCCGTCGGGCAAAGGACGGTGAGCGCATCGCGCGGCACTTTCAGACGCGCTACTGCGGCGGCCGTCTGGAACGTTCTACCTTCCGATGTGAGGAAGCCACTGGGAGCTACGCACTTTTAAATCTCAATTGAAAACCAATTTCAGGATTTGAAGCTTTCGTGACTGCAAGGATCCATACTCTTTGGTTCTATTCGGTAAAGTCAAGTAGGTAAAAAATAAAACAACAAAAATCACGACGTTTCAGCCACAACACAAGTGGCCTTCATCAGGTGAAGGGACCGTGCTGTCATGAGGACAGCGTTGGAGTGAAGACAGCCAAGCCCAGGTCGCGTCCTTTAAGCTGTGTGAGAGGAAACAGACGCCTTGACAAAGGAATTAGCATAAAATGTTGTAGAGGACCGGCACAGGGGGGGGGGGGGGGGGGAGTTTATAAATGTTGGTGTGAAGGGAAATAAGCTGGGAAACAAAAAACGCCTTGACAAAGGAATTGGCATAAAATTCTGTAGAAGACTGGCACGGGGGGGGGGGGGGGAGTTTGCAAATGTTGGTGTGAAGGGAAATACGCTGAACTCGCGAATTAAAAAAAACAGAAGTGACATAGTCATCCTCTCAGCCGATAAAGGCAACGCTACTGTAATTATGGATAAAGATTCATACAACAACAAAATCCAGAATCTGCTCAACGATGGAAGTTACTCAAAAATTAAAAATGACCCTACTAATAGCCTAGCGATAAAAACCAACAAGATCATCACAAGTTCGACCTCCCTAATCGACCCAACTAAACGTCCCTCCCTAAAACCTTCTGCTGCAAGACCCCCTAGATTCTATGGTCTTCCCATGATTCATAAAGAAGGCACCCCACTACGACCCATAGTATCCACGATCAACTCCCCTACCTATAGACTAGCCCGTTTTCTCTCAGATACCTTGCTGCCTTTCACTGGCAAGACCGCCTCAGCAGTACTTAACTCAGCCCAATTGGTCTCTATGGTCAAAGACGTTGTACTGTCCCCTGACGATATCCTTGTCAGCTTCGATGTGGTCTCTTTGTTCACCAAGGTCCCAGTACCTGATACCATTGAAATAATTGAAAATTTGGTCCAACATGGACAAGACCCCGATACACCTGCACTGGTTAGGCACTGCCTCAACAATACCTACTTTACTTGGAATGGCTTCTTCTACAAACAGAATGAGGGTACCCCATGGGATCCCCCTTGTCACCAGTGATAGCCAATATTTTCATGGAGAAATTTGAATCAGACGGCATCCAGACTTCCACCCTCAGACCTTCCCTGTGGAAGAGATATGTAGACGACACTTTCGTCATTTGGCCACATGGCCTCCCGGCTTTGGACCTTTTCCTAGACCACATTAATTCCAGACACCCCGCTATCAAATTCACCATGGAAGTGGAGAAAGATGGCAAGCTGACATTCTTGGATGTTCTGTTTGAGAGGAGACCTGATGGCTCATTGGGACATTCTGTCTACAGGAAACCCACCCACACAGATTACTACTTGAAACCTGATTCCCACCACCACCCGACGCAAAATAATTCTCCCATCAAAACGTTATACCACAGGGCTCATTGCATTTCGGACCAATACCACCAAGACCAGTGAATTACAACATATACATCTGTCCCTCAAAAGGAATGGATACTCTGACCGTACCATCCGCCAAACTGTTTCTCCCTCCATACAGAAACAACCACTTGATACTCCGATCAAAACCATCATACTTCCATATATAGCAGGCGTTACTAAAAAGATCTCCAAAATTCTAAACAAACACAAGATCCTGGTCCGGTTCAATACAGTACACAAAATCTGTGACCTGATCCCTTCTGTGAAGGATGTCATTCCTGACTTACAGTACCCCGGGGTTTACAAATTGATCTGCACCTGTGGTGACTGCTATATCGGGGAGACAAAACGACATGTCTCTGATCGAATTCGCGAGCACAAATCAGATTTGAAACACGGCAGAACGAATTCTTCTGCCGTAGCTGATCACTGTTACAACGCTGTGGGCGATCACGATATAATTTTCTCCGATACCAAGTTTCTTTGCAAACCCACGGGTTTTTATGAGAGAATTATCCACGAGGCAATGCAGATTTACAAACACAGACACAATTTCAACCGAGAAGATGGTTTCAAATTAAGCAATCATTGGAAAGATGTTCTAAATCATACCAAACATTATATTTATTCAAGTAGTGTATCCCAAACTTTCACAGCAGCTTATTTCCCTTCACACCAACATTTGCAAACTCCTCCCCCCCCCCCGCCCCCCGTGCCGGTCCTCTACAGCATTTTATGCCAATTCCTTTGTCAAGGCGTTTTTTGTTTCCTCTCACACAGCTTAAAGGACGCGACCTGGGCTTGGCTGTCTTCACTCCAACGCTGTCCTCTGGACAGTACGGTCCCTTCACCTGATGAAGACCACTTGTGTTGTGGCCGAAACGTCGTGATTTTTGTTGTTTTATTTTTTACCTACGTGACTTTACCGAATAGAACCAAAGAGTATGAAAACTAATTTCTTTAGAACTGATTTCTGCGTGTTAGTTTGTTGTCCTTCCGATGCAACCTCCGATGAGCACGGTTGGCTACGTAAGGTGTGAAATAGGTTCAACGTAAGTACGCACGTGCACGTAGACTCGGAAGGGAATCTGAGATGTTAGCTACCTCGCCTGTGGTACAGGAGGTCGGGGGTTTGATCCCGACCCTCATGCCTGCTGAATATTTGGAGTTTGCATATTCACCCTGTGGTCGTGTGGATTTGCTGCTATAAATGTCCACACAATGACGATGAGCTACTTCGTTGTGCTATCATTTATGATGGCCACGTCGCTTCTGAAAAATAGCTACGTAGCTCAGTGTGCCTTGCCTGGTAAAATAAGTAATAATAGTCAATAGGTACGCTGATGCAATGCAGCTGTTCGTGCTTCGCATGTCTGTGTGAGTGAGTGTGCCTAAATCGGTCCTGGGCCTCCTCCAGATCGACTGAGCCTTAAATGAATATCTGATACAGTGTATCAGATACGCGCGACTGACCCCTAACTCGCGACTGACCCCTAACTCGCCACTGACCCCTAACTCGCCACTGACCCCTAACTCGCCACTGACCTCTAACTCGCCACTGACCCCTAACTCGCCACTGACCTCTAACTCGCCACTGACCTCTAACTCGCCACTGACCCCTAACTCACCACTGACCTCTAACTCGCCACTCGGATCGATGGCTCAGCAAAGGAGACGGCGTGAGGCTTGGCCGGACGTACGACGATGTGTGACGTGTCACGGTGTGTGACGTGACACGGTGTGTGACGTCAATCATCTTGACACGTCACACATCGTGACACGATGAGTGACGTGTCACGGTGTGTGACGTGACACGGTGTGTGACGTGACACGGTGTGTGACGTGACACGGTGTGTGACGTGACACGGTGTGTGACGTGACACGGTGTGTGACGTGACACGACGTGACACGGTGTGTGACGTGACACGATGTGACACGGTGTGTGACGTGACACGGTGTGTGACGTGACACGATGTGACACGGTGTGTGACGTGACACGGTGTGTGACGTGACACGACGTGACACGGTGTGTGACATGACACGATGTGACACGGTGTGTGACGTGACACGGTGTGTGACGTGACACGATGTGACACGGTGTGTGACGTGACACGGTGTGTGACGTGACATGGTGTGTGACATGACACGGTGTGTGACGTGACACGATGTGACACGGTGTGTGACGTGACACGGTGTGTGACGTGACACGGTGTGTGACGTGACACGGTGTGTGACGTGGCACGGATGTGCGACGTTGTCCGAGTTGCAGATCTCACGAAGCCTGTATCCGATCCGCTTCGCTCACAACGGACGTTAAAGATCCCCCAGTGACGTCACTCGCACGACCTAGCCGTTGTGCGGCGACGTCACGCCGCTCATGACTCGATTGGGATGCACACGGCAGCAATCATCACCTCCCGACTGCGAGGACCTGGCAGGAGCCTCCTGACAAGGGAGTCACGAGACTCTGCGAGTCTTTCCTTGGCAAACAGGCGGAGTAGGAATCATTATAATAATGATGGCCGCCACGGTGGTGAGATGTCAACTCCCTCGCCTGGTCTACAGGAGGTCGTGGGTTCGATCCCACCCTGCCGCCTGCTGCTGCTGTATATTTGGAGTTTGCGTGTCTCTCTCTCTCCCAGTAGAGATGTTAACTCCCTCGCCAAGTATACAGGAGGTCGTGGGTTCGATCCCGACCCTGCCGCCTGCTGCTGCTGTATATTTGGAGTTTGCGTGTCTCTCTCTCTCCCCGTGGTCGCGTGGATTTTTTTCCGGGTCCTCCGGTTGTCCCCTCCACAATTAGAATTCACGTGCGTGTAGAGTATTTGGCTGCTATATATTTCCACGTGATAAGCAGCTTCTTTGAGCCATCATTTGTGGCCAGGTCGCATTTGAAAAAGAGCTGTATAGCTCTGTGGGCTACAAATAATAGCTCAACGAAGTGGCGCATATCACGTGTAAATTGATAGCAGCCAAATACTCTAAACTCACACTTCGATTCTAAATGTGCAGAGAGAGAGACGGGAATCTCCAAATATGCCACAGACGTAAGGGGTGGGTTCGAATCCACGACCTCCTGCATAGCAGGCGAGGTAGCCAACATCTCCTAGCCACCACGGCGCCCCCAATAAGCGTGGGGGCTCTGGGCAGCGGGGACGCGGCGCAGCCGCTGCTGACGACGGAGCGGCAGCCAAAGGACGGAGTGGCGGAATCGGCTGGCGGGCGGGAGGCGCAGTGGAGGTGTCCGTCCAGCAGCGGACAGAGCACGGCTGAAGGTGAACCGGGCTGCTGCTGCTGCTGCTCACCTGGATCTGCACGTAGCTCAGGGCGATGTCCTCCAGTGCCCTCCTGCCCAGCGTGGGCAGGCAGCGTTGCAGGTGGGTCCGCAGGTCATCCACCAGCTGAGATACACCAACGTCACACGGCCACGGGGTCACGTGGCCACGCAGATACTCGGTCAAGACGGCAAGCAGCCGTGTGTGTGTGTGTGGGTTCCCCACACAGAGAAATACAGACTCGCATAGAGACCCACCGGCTCACACAGAGACCCACAGACTCACACAGAGACTCATATTCTCACACAGAGACCCATAGACTCGCACACACCCATAGATCTGTCATGGTAGGATGCCACCGACTGACCGTAGACACACTCACAGAGGGACCTACAGAACGTATAGGAATCTATTGACTCACACAGAGAGCCGTAGGCCCAGAGACCCACAGATGTGCCGTGACCATCTGCCACCATCTGCTCTTGGTGCCTGGGCTCCTAGAGGCCACTCCGATGCCAGTCTGGGCGATCAGCCTGTGATCGTGATGGTGGCCGGGTGAAGTCAAGACAATTCGTTTTTTGGCGCCTTTCTGGCAACAAAAATCTGCGGTGCCGGCTCGACGCTCTGACACGGCCATCCTGAGCCACCCTGAGTCGCTGTGAGCCATCCTGAGCCACCCTGAGCCACCCTGAGTCGCCGTGAGCCATCCTGAGCCACCCTGTGCCACGCTGAGTCACCGTGAGCCATCCTGAGACACCCTGAGCCACCCTGAGTCACCGTGAGCCATCCTGAGCCACCCTGAGTCACCTGAGTCACCCTGAGCCACCGTGAGCCACCCTGAGTCACCGTGAGCCACCCTGAGTCACCGTGAGCCACTCTGAGCCACCCTGAGCCACCTTGAGTCACCCTGAGCCACCGTGAGCCACCCTGAGTCACCCTGAGTCACCCTGAGCCACTGTGAGTCACCCTGAGTCACCCTGAGCCACCCTGAGTCACCGTGAGCCACCCTGAGCCACCCTGAGTCACCCTGAGCCACCCTGAGCCACCCTGAGTCACCGTGAGCCACCCTGAGTCACCCTGAGCCACCCTGAGTCACCGGGAGTCACCCTGAGTCACCCTGAGCCACCCTGAGTCACCGTGAGCCACCCTGAGCCACCCTGAGCCACCCTGAACCACCCTGAGCCACCCTGAGCCATCCTGAGCCACCCTGAGCCACCCTGAGCCATCCTGAGCCACCCTGAGCCATCCTGAGCCACCCTGAGTCACCGTGAGCCACTCTGAGTCACCCTGATCACCCTGAGCCATCCTGAGCCACCCTGAGCCATCCTGAGCCACGCTGAGCCACCCTGAGCCATCCTGAGCCACCCTGAGCCATCCTGAGCCACCCTGAGCCACCCTGAGTCACCGTGAGCCATCCTGAGCCACCCTGAGTCGCCGTGAGCCATCCTGAGCCACCCTGTGCCACGCTGAGTCACCGTGAGCCATCCTGAGCCACCCTGAGCCACCCTGAGTCACCGTGAGCCATCCTGAGCCACCCTGAGTCACCCTGAGCCACCGTGAGCCACCCTGCGCCACCCTGAGCCACCCTGAGCCACCATGAGCCACCGTGAGTCACCCTGAGTCACCCTGAGCTACCCTGAGCCACCCTGAGTCACCCTGAGCCACCCTGAGCCATCCTGAGCCACCCTGAGCCATCCTGAGCCACCCTGAGCCATCCTGAGCCACCCTGAGTCACCGTGAACCACCCTGAGTCACCCTGAGCCACCCTGAGCCACCCTGAGCCACCGTGAGCCACCCTGAGTCACCCTGAGTCACCGTGAGCCACCGTGAGCCACCCTGAGTCACTGTGAGCCACCCTGAGCCACCGTGAGCCACCCTGAGTCACCCTGAGTCACCCTGAGTCACCGTGAGCCACCCTGAGTCACCGTAAGCCACCCTGAGTCACCGTGAGCCACCCTGAGCCACCCTGAGTCACCCTGAGCCACCGTGAGTCACCCTGAGTCACCCTGAGCCACCCTGAGTCACCGTGAGCCACCCTGAGTCACCCTGAGTCACCGTGAGCCACCGTGAGCCACCCTGAGTCACCCTGAGCCACCCTGAGTCACCCTGAGCCACCGTGAGCCACCCTGAGTCACTCTGAGTCACCGTGAGCCACCCTGAGTCACCCTAAGTCACTCTGAGTCACCGTGAGCCACCCTGAGTCACCCTAAGTCACCGTGAGCCACCCTGAGTCACCGTGAGCCACCCTGAGTCACTCTGAGTCACCGTGAGCTACCGTGATCCACCCTGAGTCACCCTGAGCCACCCTGAGTCACCCTGAGCCACCGTGAGTCACCCTGAGTCACCCTGAGCCACCCTGAGTCACCCTGAGCCACCCTGAGTCACCCTGAGCCACCGTGAGCCACCCTGAGTCACCCTGAGCCACCCTGAGTCACCGTGAGCCACCGTGAGCCACCCTGAGTCACCGTGAGCCACCCTGAGTCACCCTGAGTCACCCTGAGCCACCGTGAGTCACCGTGAGTCACCCTGAGTCACCGTGAGCCACCCTGAGTCACCGTGAGCCACCGTGAGCCACCCTGAGTCACCGTGAGCCACCCTGAGTCACCCTGAGTCACCGTAAGCCACCCTGAGTCACCGTGAGCCACCCTGAGCCACCCTGAGTCACCCTAAGTCACCGTGAGCCACCCTGAGTCACATGAGCCACCCTGAGTCACTCTGAGTCACCGTAAGCCACTGTGAGCCACCCTGAGTCACCCTGAGTCACCCTGAGTCACCCTGAGCCACCGTGAGTCACCCTGAGTCACCCTGAGCCACCCTGAGTCACCCTGAGCCACCCTGAGTCACCGTGAGCCACCGTGAGCCACCGTGGCTGCAGGCCCCTGAAGGGCCCAGAGGCGGCCTGCCGAGCGACCACGGTGAGCTAGGGAGGGTGTCGGCGCAGCGCCCTCACCATGCCGGCCGCCAGCATCTGCTCCGGATCCTCCTCCTGGAAGAGCGGCAGGCTGCCCCGTCCTCCTGGCCGCAGAGATCGAGAGGTCAAGGGGTCAAGCCGGCGGGCCGGGCGAGGTCGCCGCTTGCCGTTGGCCCACGACGCCGATGGCGCGCTCGCGGCGGAGGACGGGGGGGGAGGGGTTGTGAATTCCAACTCGTCGCTCGCGACCGGTCGGTCGGTCGGGGTGAATCCCGTGGCCGCAACGTTAATCAGGAGGCTGTGGAGTTCGATCCCGACCCCGACAACGTCTGCTGCTGCTCGCTGTTTGGAGTTTGCGTGTCTCTCTGCCCCCGTGGTCGCGTGGATCTCTGGGTCCTCGGGTTTCCCCCCCCCACCCCCCGCATTTAGAATCAACGTGGCTCTCTGTGAGTATTTGGCTGCTATAAATTGTGATGACGGTAAGCCACGTGGTTGGGCTATCACGTGTTTTAGCCAGGTCACTTCTGAAAAAGAGCTACGTAGCTCAGCGGGCCCTACCTGGTAACAATAGTGAATAGTTTATAACCGGGGAGTTGAGTTATAATCAAGGGAGAGCGGTGATTGTCGTGCTTCGAGGCAATCCCGAATCGCGATAGCTCGTGGATTCGCAAGAGCGGAGGGTGCGCAACCGCTTTGCATTCCCGCTCCATCGTGACGCGACCATCTCTCCCCCAACGGTCTCCTGCCACCCGCCTGAACTCATGTGCCGCCGGCTGCAGCCTCGGCTCCCCACTGCCGTCGCCATCTCCGATTCTCGTGGTGGAACGAACGCGGCCGGTGCCGGCACGCGGCGCGGGCGAAGGGCGGAGCGCGAGACGGTGTCGGGGCGTCAGCGTCAGCGGCCTCGCTCACTCGCCGTCTCTCTCTCTCGCTCACGCAACAAAGACGAAGACCGCCACCCCTCTCCCCCGTGTGGCCTCAACGGAGGCCGGCGCGGGGCCACGCCCGGCCACCTTGTGTCTCCGCAGGGGAGATGTCCACGCACCGCACCGGGCACTCGCTTGAGGCCCAGGACCGGTTCAGACAGCCGTCAGTGGCGTTGGTGGCCGCGGGCGGGGAATTGAACTCGGGTCTCCGACGACCTCACAGGCGCTCGCGACCTCACAAGGGCTCGCGACCTCACAGGCGCGACCTCACAGGCGCGACCTCACAGGCGCTCGCGACCTCACAGGCGCTCGCTTTCTCCCGCTCACCTTTGCTCCAGGAGGCAGACAGCGACAGGACCCTGCGAACAACGAGGCAGAGCACGTCAATTCCACACATTGAAAGCCGGTGGCGAGTTTCGATAGCAATAAATATTCACAACGGAGGACGTCATTGCTGTCGGCCCGATGCATCGCGTTCGAAACTTGCGATACCTCCTCGCCAGGGTGAGGAGCTCGCCGACCCGCTGCCCGCTGCCCCGAGACGCCTGAGAAAGCGCAGAGGAGAAACGCACGTGCCGGACGTCGACGGCCTGTCAGCATGGGGGGGTTTGTGACGCCGCTCGCTCGCTCTCGAGACAGGCACGGGGGAGGGACGGATGCGAAAAAGCCACGCACAGCGGGAGCGGACTGGAGGACGCGGAGAAGACTCACGGGCGCGAGCAGTGGGGAGCGGTGGGGGGGTGTCAACGCTCTATCCGACGCAGATGGAACAGACGGACGCGACGAGTCCGCATTTCACCGCAGCGCCTGTCTCGGATTGCGCTGCGGGACGGAGAGCCGGAGGTCGAGAGACAGCCACGGGGGGGGGAGGACAGGAGGCGTCAAGAGAGCAGGGGGAGGGGAGCAGCCGATGGGCGGAGAGGAGAGGAGATAGCGGACTAGGAGATGGAGACCAAAAGGGCAGCAGGCACAGAGGAGATACAGGCGGGGAAAGTGGAGACGAGACGACGGCGGGGGCAGGGAAGGACGTGGGCCGCGAGAGGAGATGGGACGGGCGAGGAGGGCTGAGAGCGATGGGCGTCGGGAGACGAGGTCACGGCATCCGGAGGGTGGACGCGATCCCGCTTGCTGTACCCCGGCAGTCTGGGAGATGGTGACCTCAACGCCCACGGGCTTGGTGCGTGCGTGGGTGCGCGAGACGGAGCGAGGGTGACCGACGACCGCGTGCACGCACGCTCCACCAACCCTCGCCGCCGCCCGCGCCGCCTCCGCGGCCGGGCGTCCCGCTCACCGCGTGGGCCGCCACGAGGTCCCGCAGGGCGCGCCGGTCGCTCCCGAGCCGGTAGCGCCGCTGGGCCGCGTCCGGCACGGCGACGCGCCGCTCCAGGCCGCTCCAGAACCCCGGGCCGCTCGCCTGCCGCCGGGGGCAACGACACCCGCAAGGCCGTCACTCGCTCCGCACGAGCGCGCGCGGTTAACGACAGCCACTCAACGCTCTCGCCAACAACGCTGCCGATCGCACATCGCCTACGTGTCGTGATTATTCCTCGTCAAGCCACGGCGTTATTGAGGAACGTGCTGAGCGTTTTGTCGTACGTCAAACTTCTTTCGCGCTGTATGTTGCCAACCTTGATAATCGGAGGTGCGGAGTGGAAGGACAACAACACTAAACACAGAAAACAGTTCTAAAGCAACAACAGCAACAACAGCAACAACAATAACTGCAACAACAAAGGACAACAGCAACAGCAGCGATACCAACAACAAAAACAGCAACAACAGCAGCAACAACAGAGTATCCTTGCACACATCCCGTCGGCTACACAGCATCAAGGACGCGATAGCAAGACAGCCGAGAGCGTCGCGTGGCACCGCCACTCGCAACGGACCTCCCCGCGCGCCACGGGGGCTAGGAGATGGAGGTGACCTCGCCTGGTATGCAGGTTGTCCTGAGTTTGATCCTGACCCTGATGCCTGCTGTATATTTGGAGTATGCATGGCTCTCTCTCTCTCTCATCATCACGGTGGCTATGAGATGTTAACTACCTCGCCTGGTGTACAGGAGGTCGTGGGTTCGACCCCGACCCTGACACCTGCTGCTGTATATTTGGAGTTTGCGTGTCTCTCTCTCATCATCATCATGGTGGCTATGAGATGTTAACTACCTCGCCTGGTCTACAGGAGGTCGTGGGTTCGATCCCGACCCTGACACCTGCTGCTGTATATTTGGAGTTTGCGTGTCTCTCTCTCATCATCATCATGGTGGCTAGGAGATGTTAACTACCTCGCCTGGTATACAGGAGGTCGTGGGTTCGACCCCGACCCTGACACCTGCTGCTGTATATTTGGAGTTTGCGTGTCTCTCTGTCTCCCCCCGTGGTCGCGTGGATTTTTCTCCGGATTTTCCCTCCACATTTAGAAATCAACATCATCACGCGTTTTGACTATTTGGCTGCTACACATTTCCACACGATGATAATGATGACGATGAGCCACTTCAGTGAGCTATCGTGTGTGATTAGCCAGGACGCTTCTCTCTCTCCGGTTAGCATGGTTGGCTTACGTACGGCGCGAAAAAAGTTCAACGCACACATACAGTGAGGGAAAATAGTATTTGATCCCCTGCTGATGTTGTACGTTTGCCCACTGACAAAGAAATGATCAGTCTATAATTTGAATGGTAGGTTTTTTTGAACAGTGAGAGACAGAACAACAACAAAATCCAGAAAAACGCGTGACAAAATTTTTATAAACTTGATTTGCATTTTAATGAGGGAAATAAGTATTGACCCCTCTGCAAAACATGACTTAGTACTTGGTGGCAAAACCCTTGTTGGCAATCAGAGGTCAGACGTTTCTTTTAGTTGGCCACCAGGTTTGCACACATCTCAGGAGGGATTTTGTCCCACTCCTCTTTGCAGATCTTCTCCAAGTCATTAAGGTTTCGAGGCTGACGTTTGGCAACTCGAACCTTCAGCTCCCTCCACAGATTTTCTATGGGATTAAGGTCTGGAGACTGGCTAGGCCACTCCAGGACCTTAATGTGCTTCTTCTTGAGCTACTCCTTTGTTGCCTTGGCCGTGTGTTTTGGGTCATTGTCATGCTGGAATGTCCATCCACGACCCATTTTCAATTCCCTGTCTGAGGGAAGGAGGTTCTCACCCAAGATTTGACGGTACATGGCCCCGTCCATCGTCCCTTTGATGCGGTGAAGTTGTCCTGTCTCCTTAGCAGAAAAACACCCCCAAAGCATAATGTTTCCACCTCCATGTTTGACGGTGGGGATGGTGTACTTGGGGTCATAGGCAGCATTCCTCCTCCTCCAAACACAGCGAGTTGAGTTGATGCCAAAGAGCTCCATTTTGGTCTCATCTAACCACAACACTTTCACCCAGTTGTCCTCTGAATCATTCAGATGTTCATTGGCAAACTTCAGACGGGCATGTGTATGTGCTTTCTTGAGCAGGGGGAGCTTGCCGGCGCTGCAGGATTTCAGTCCTTCACGGCGTAGTGTGTTACCAGTTGTTTTCTTGGTGACTATGGTCCCAGCTGCCTTGAGATCATTGACAAGATCCTCCCGTGTAGTTCTGGGCTGATTCCTCACCATTCTCATGATCATTGCAACTCCACGAGGTGAGATCTTGCATGGAGCCCCAGGCCGAGGGAGATTGATAGTTCTTTTGTGTTTCTTCCATTTGCGAATAATCGCACCAACTGTTGTCACCTTCTCACCAAGCTGCTTGGCAATGGTCTTGTAGCCCATTCCAGCCTTGTGTAGGTCTACAATCTTGTCCCTGACATCCTTGGAGAGCTCTTTGGTCTTGGCCATGGTGGAGAGTTAGGAATCTGATTGATTGATTGCTTCTGTGGACAGGTGTCTTTTATACAGGTAACAAGCTGAGATTAGGAGCACTCCCTTTAAGAGTGTGCTCCTAATCTCAGCTCGTTACCTGTATAAAAGACACCTGGGAGCCAGAAGTCTTTCTGATTGAGAGGGGGTCAAATACTTATTTCCCTCATTAAAATGCAAATCAATTTATAACATGTTTGACATGCGTCCTTCTGGATTTTGTTGTTGTCATTCTGTCTCTCACTGTTCAAATAAACCTACCATTAAAATTATAGACTGATCATTTCTTTGTCAGTGGGAAAACGTACAAAATCAGCAGGGGATCAGATACTCTTTTCCCTCACTGTACGTGCGCACAATTTAACCGTCGCTGTTTTGTACACATCCCATCAGCCACGCGTTCACGGCAACGAGCGGTCGGGGGGAGCCGCGTGGGGGTACGAACCTTGTGCTTGAGAGCGTTCGCGACGTCGGGAATCTTCTCCTGCGTCGCTGTGAGTCCAGGAATTTCCTAGAGGCACGACGTCACCATCACCACCACTTCTTCATTGAAACATTCCACCTCTGGAAAACCCCTGGAGATGGAACAGCTCCTTCGCTAGGGGCTGCACGACCGCAACGCGCAAAGCCAACGCGGAATGACGCACGCACAATCTTGAAGATGAGCGAGGTGGTGAGCGAAGTGGTGAGGTGGTGAGCGAGGTGGTGAGCGAGGTGGTGAGTGAGGTGGAGAGCGAGGTGGTGAGTGAGGTGGTGAGCGAGGTGGCGAGGTGACGAGTGAGGTGGTGAGTGAGGTGGTGAGTGAGGTGGTGAGTGAGGTGGTGAGTGGGGTGGTGAGCGAGGTGGTGAGCGAGGAGGCGAGCGAGGTGGCGAGTGAGGTGGTGAGCGAGGTGGCGAGTGAGGTGGCGAGTGAGTTGGTGAGCGAGGTGGTGGCGAGGTGACGAGTGAGGTGGTGAGTGAGGTGGTGAGTGAGGTGGTGAGCGAGGTGATGAGCGAGGAGGCGAGCGAGGTGGCGAGGTGGTGAGTGAGGTAGTGAGTGACGTGGCGAGCGAGGTGGTGAGCGGGGTGGTGATCGAGGTGACGAGTGAGGTGGTGAGTGAGGTGGTGAGTGAGGTGGTGAGTGAGGTGGTGAGTGAGGTGGTGAGCATGGTGGTGAGCGAGGTGGCGAGCGAGTAAGTTTGCGGCGAAGGTGAGTGGCAGGTGAGCGAGTAGGCGGGTGAGAACAGTGGTCGAGCTGACGAGCGAGGAGGTGAGCGAGAAGGTGAGGGACCGGGCAGGTAGGCAGGAGAGCGAGGTGAGCGAGGAGGTGAGCAAGGAGGTGAGCGAGGAGGTGAGCAAGGAGGTGAGCGAGGAGGTGAGCGAAGAGGTGAGCGAGGAGGTGAGCGAGGAGGTGAGCGAGCCACCGGGCCTCACCTCGGTCCACGTGGTGAGCGCCGTGCAGGGCAGGAAGGGGATCGCGTCCGCGGCTCCTTCCCTCACCGCCATCTCCCCCAGCACAGATGCTGCGCAGAGACACACACACACATAGACACACGCTGAGACACACACACACATATAGGCACACATACACATAGAGACACACACACAGACACACACACACACAGAGACACACAAACACACAGAGACACACAAACACACAGAGACACACAAACACACAGAGACACACAAACACACAGAGACACACACACAGAGACACACAAACACAGAGACACACAAACACACAGAGACACACAAACACATAGAGACACACAAACACACAGAGACACACAAACACAGAGACACACAAACACACAGAGACACACAAACAGAGACACACAAACACACAGAGACACACAAACACAGAGACACACAAACACACAGAGACACACAAACAGAGACACAAACACACAGAGACACACAAACAGAGACACACAAACACAGAGAGACACACAAACACACAGACACACACAGAGACACACAAACACACAGACACACACAGAGACACACAAACACACAGAGACACACAAACACACAGAGACACACAAACACACAGGAGCGTCGTCTCCGCTCCGGTTCCGCGTGGTTTTCCCCATCGTGCACCGTCGCTTTTCTCTCGGGGCGACTACCGAGTGGGGCACACGACGACCTGCGACTTTGCAGCGGCAGTTCATTGCGACCCGCCGCTTACACGCCGTTGGAGAAGGGTCACCGCCCGAAACGTCGCCCGTCGCATACTTTGCTTCGCGGCCGTCCCGGCATGCGCGTGGCCGTGGAGGGTGCCCAGGCGGTGCGAGGGCACCGAGGGCCCGCGGCGACTCACCGACGAGAAACTCCTGCAGGAGGTGCGTGGACGGCTCGCGACAGCTCCTGCACAGGAAGCGCAGGGCCTGCGCGGAGACAGGGATCGACGCGCGCTCCGCCCGCTCGTTCCAACACTGCTCACCCACCCGCTCGGACGTAGCCAACCGTGGGGTGATCGGAGGTGCGGGGGAAGGGCAACAAGCTAACGCCGCTAACAACAGTTCTAAGGAAATGAGATTTTAATTTGAGATGATTAAAAAGTGCATCGCACCCTGTGTCTTCAAAATTTCAGAAGAGCATTCCAGACGGCTGCGTCATCAACGTCACAACCATGAGTGAGGGAGGGAGTGAGGGAGGAAGTGCGTGAGTGAGCGAGTGAGGGAGGGAAGGAGGGAGGGAGTGATTACAGTGAGGGAAAAAAGTATTTGATCCCCTGCTGATTTTGTACATTTGCCCACTGACAAAGAAATGATCAGTCTATAATTTTAATGGTAGGTTTATTTGAACAGTGAGAGACAGAATAACAAAAAAATCCAGATAAACGCATGTCAAAAATGCTATAAATAGATTTGCATTTTAATGAGGGAAATAAGTATTTGACCCCCTCTCAATCAGAAAGATTTCTGGCTCCCAGGTGTCTTTTATACAGGTAACGAGCTGAAATTAGGAGCACACTCTTAAAGGGAGTGCTCCTAATCTCAGCTTGTTACCTGTATAAAAGACACCTGTCCACAGAAGCAATCAATCAATCAGATTCCAAACTCTCCACCATGGCCAAGACCAAAGAGCTCTCCAAGGATGTCAGGGACAAGATTGTAGACCTACACAAGCCTGGAATGGGCTATAAGACCATTGCCAAGCAGCTTGTTGAGAAGGTGACAACAGTTGGTGTGATTATTCGCAAATTGAAGAAACACAAAAGAACTGTCAATCTCCCTCAGCCTGGGGCTCCATGCAAGATCTCACCTCGTGGAGTTGCAATGATCATGAGAACGGTGAGGAATCAGCCCAGAACTACACGGGAGGATCTTGTCAATGATCTGAAGGCAGCAGGAACCATAGTCACCAAGAAAACAATTGGTAACACACTACGCCGTGAAGGACTGAAATCCTGTAGCGCCGGCAAGGTTCCCCTGCTCAAGAAAGCACATATACATGCCCGTCTGAAGTTTGCCAATGAACATCTGAATGATTCAAAGGACAACTGGGCGAAAGTGTTGTGGTTAGATGAGACCAAAATGGAGCTCTTTGGCATCAACTCAACTCGCTGTGTTTGGAGGAGGAGGAATGCTGCCTATGACCCCAAGAACACCATCCCCACCGTCAAACATGGAGGTGGAAACATTATGCTTTGGGGGTGTTTTTCTGCTAAGGGGACAGGACAACTTCACCGCATCAAAGGGACGATGGACGGGGCCATGTACTGTCAAATCTTGGGTGAGAACCTCCTTCCCTCAGACAGGGCATTGAAAATGGGTCGTGGATCGGTATTCCAGCATGACAATGACCCAAAACACACGGCCAAGGCAACAAAGGAGTGGCTCAAGAAGAAGCACATTAAGGTCCTGGAGTGGCCTAGCCAGTCTCCAGACCTTAATCCCATAGAAAATCTGTGGAGGGAGCTGAAGGTTCGAGTTTCCAAACGTCAGCTTCGAAACCTTAATGACTTGGAGAAGATCTGCAACGAGGAGTGGGACAAAATCCCTCCTGAGATGTGTGAAAACCTGGTGGCCAACTACAAGAAATGTTTGACCTCTGTGATTGCCAACAAGGGTTTTGCCACCAAGTACTAAGTCATGTTTTGCAAAGGGGTCAAATACTTATTTCCCTCATTAAAATGCAAATCAATTTATAACATTTTCGACATGCGTTTTTCTGGATTTTGTTGTTGTTATTCTGTCTCTCACTGTTCAAATAAACCTACCATTAAAATTATAGACTGATCATTTCTTTGTCAGTGGGCAAATGTACAAAATCAGCAGGGGATCAAATACTTTTTTCCCTCACTGTAAGTGAGTGAGTGAGCAAGTGAGCGAGTGAGTGAGTGAGCGAGGGAGTGACTGAGTGCGGGAGTGACTGAGTGAGTGAGCGAGCGAGTGAGTGAGTGAGCGAGGGAGTGACTGAGTGATTGAGGGAGTGACTGAGTGAGTGAGGGAGTGACTGAGTGAGGGAGCTTGTGAGTGAGGGAGTGAGGGAGCGAGTGAGTGAGCGAGGGAGTGAGGGAGCGAGCGAGGGAGTGACTGAGCGAGGGAGCGAGCGAGGGAGTGACTGAGCGAGGGAGCGAGCGAGGGAGTGACTGAGCGAGGGAGTGACTGAGCGAGTGAGTGAGCGAGCGAGCGAGTGAGGGAGTGAGCGAGCAATGGAGTGAGGCAAGACCCGTGCCCGACCTGCTCCTTGGCTCCGTGGCGCTCCCCGGACGCCAGGGCGGCGTGCAGGGCGGCCATGCGGTGGCCGCTCCGCCGGCAGCGGCGCAGCGTGGCCCCCAGCTGTGGGGCGGAAGCGGCGGCGGTGGTGGTGGCGGTGGTGGCGGTGGCGGCGGTGGTGGCGTGACGTGCGCCCAGCCGGTGCAGCGTCCCCGCCGAGCGGCTAGTGTAGAGGTCTCCCAGCGTGCGCAGGTCGGGTGCCGTCACAAAGTTGCGCAGGAACGTGGAGAGGTCGCGGCCTGGCCCGGAGCGGGGCGGGGGGGGGAGCGGAGAGTTGGCAAGAAGCTCACTCACAACAACAACAACGCCATTCGCCACGAAGCGGCGGTGACGTCACCACGGCGCTTGTGCCAGGCCACGTGCACGTTGAGGCCACGCTGGCAGGAGGTCGTGGGGCAGACCCAGGTGCCACGGGTTGACTGACTGAGATGACCGAGATGACCGAGATGACCGAGATGAAGATGAGTGAGATGAGTGAGATGAGTGAGATGAGTGAGATGGGTGAGATGAGTGAGATGGGTGAGATGAGTGAGATGACTGAGATGAGTGAGATGACCGAGATGACTGAGATGGAGATGAGTGAGATGACTGAGATGAGTGAGATGACTGAGATGACTGAGATGAGTGAGATGAGTCAGATGAGTGAGATGACTGAGATGAGTGAGATGACTGAGATCACTGAGATGGAGATGACTGAGATGAGTGAGATGAGTGAGATGAGTGAGATGAGTGAGATGAGTGAGATGACTGAGATGAGCGAGATAACTGAGATGAGTGAGATGACTGAGATGAGTGAGATGACTGAGATGAGTGAGATGACTGAGATGAGTGAGATGACTGAGATGACTGAGATGAGTGAGATGACTGAGATGACTGAGATGAGTGAGATGACTGAGGTGACTGAGATGGAGATGACTGAGATGACTGAGATGAGTGAGATGATTGAGATGACTGAGGTGACTGAGATGGAGATGACTGAGATGACTGACATCATTGAGATGAGTGAGATGACTGAGATGACTGAGATGGAGATGAGTGAGATGACTGAGATGAGTGAGCTGAGTGAGATGACTGAGATGAGGGAGATGACTGAGATGACTGAGATGGAGATGACTGAGATGAGTGAAATGACTGAGATGAGTGAGATGACTGAGATGACTGAGATAACTGAGATGAGTGAGATGACTGAGATGACTGAGATGACTGAGATGAGTGAGATGACTGAGATGACTGAGATGACTGAGATGAGTGAGATGACTGAGATGAGTGAGATGAGTGAGATGACTGAGATGACTGAGATGACTGAGATGAGTGAGATGACTGAGATGAGTGAGATGACTGAGATGACTGAGATGAGTGAGATGACTGAGATCACTGAGATGGAGATGACTGAGATGAGTGAGATGAGTGAGATGACTGAGATGAGTGAGATGAGTGAGATGACTGAGATGAGCGAGATAACTGAGATGAGTGAGATGACTGAGATGACTGAGATGACTGAGATGAGTGAGATGACTGAGATGAGTGAGATGACTGAGATGACTGAGATGAGTGAGATGACTGAGATGACTGAGATGAGTGAGATGACTGAGGTGACTGAGATGGAGATGACTGAGATGACTGAGATGAGTGAGATGATTGAGATGACTGAGGTGACTGAGATGGAGATGACTGACATCATTGAGATGAGTGAGATGACTGAGATGACTGAGATGGAGATGAGTGAGATGACTGAGATGAGTGAGCTGAGTGAGATGACTGAGATGAGGGAGATGACTGAGATGACTGAGATGGAGATGACTGAGATGAGTGAAATGACTGAGATGAGTGAGATGACTGAGATGACTGAGATAACTGAGATGAGTGAGATGACTGAGATGACTGAGATGACTGAGATGAGTGAGATGACTGAGATGACTGAGATGACTGAGATGAGTGAGATGACTGAGATGAGTGAGATGAGTGAGATGACTGAGATGACTGAGATGACTGAGATGAGTGAGATGACTGAGATGAGTGAGATGACTGAGATGACTGAGATGAGTGAGATGACTGAGATGAGTGAGATGAGTGAGATGACTGAGATGAGCGAGATGACTGAGATGACTGAGGTGACTGAGATGACTGAGATGAGTGAGATGACTGAGATGATTGAGATGAGTAAGATGACTGAGATGACTGAGATGGAGATGAGTGAGATGAGTGAGATGAGTGAGATGACTGAGATGAGTGAGATGACTGAGATGAGTGAGATGACTGAGGTGACTGAGATGAGTGAGATGACTGAGATGAGTGAGATGACTGAGATGAGTGAGATGACTGAGGTGACTGAGATGACTGAGGTGACTGAGATGACTGAGATGAGTCAGATGAGTGAGATGACTGAGATGAGTGAGATGACTGAGATGACTGAGATGAGTGAGATGACTGAGATGAGTGAGATGACTGAGGTGACTGAGATGATTGAGATGAGCGAGATGACTGAGATGACTGAGGTGACTGAGATGACTGAGATGAGTGAGATGACTGAGATGATTGAGATGAGTAAGATGACTGAGATGACTGAGATGGAGATGAGTGAAATGACTGAGATGAGTGAGATGACTGAGGTGACTGAGATGACTGAGATGAGTGAGATGACTGAGATGAGTGAGATGACTGAGATGACTGAGATGACTGAGATGAGTGAGATGAGTGAGATGAGTGAGATGAGTGAGGTGACTGAGATGATTGAGATGACTGAGATGACTGAGATGAGTGAGATGAGTGAGATGACTGAGATGAGCGAGATGACTGAGATGACTGAGGTGACTGAGATGACTGAGATGACTGAGATCAGTGAGATGACTGAGATGACTGACATGACTGAGATGAGTGAGATGACTGAGATGACTGAGGTGACTGAGATGACTGAGATGACGGAGATGAGTGAGATGACTGAGATGACTGAGGTGACTGAGATGACTGACATAACTGAGATGAGTGAGATGAGTGAGCTGAGTGAGATGACTGAGATGAGTAAGATGAGTGAAATGACTGAGATGAGTGAGATGACTGAGATGAGTGAGATGACTGAGATGAGTAAGATGAGTGAAATGACTGAGATGAGTGAAATGACTGAGATGAGTGAGATGACTGAGATTATTGAGATGAGTAAGATGAGTGAGATGACTGAGATGAGTGAGATGACTGAGATGAGTGAGATGACTGAGATGAGTGAGATGACTGAGATGACCGAGATGACTGAGATGAGTGGCTCGCTAACGCAACCCCCACCACCCATCGTGCACCACACAGCGGTGGGCATGAGAAGGCAGGCAAAGGCAGAGCCTCGCCCGTGTAGCCTCAACAACAACAGGAGGCTGTCGCGGCAAGTGCTGCGAGCGATCACCTATGAAGGCCGGCAAGCACGCCCGGCTGCCCCGCGTCGCGAGCGACGATGTAGACGCGAGCACAAGGTGCTCAATTTAGGTTGAGTCGACCAAGCGGAGGCCCAGGACCGGCTCCGATCGTCGTCACTCGTGGACATCTGCGAAAAAGAGCTTCGTAGCTCGTCGGATTTCTCCAGGATAAAAAAATAATTCTGATTGCCGACTCCTCTCAAGAGTCCGTCACCGATGTGCGGTGGCCGCGAGTGGGGATTTAAACTGCCGGGGCTCCCCCAATTCACCGGCACGCTCACCGGCACGCTCACCGGCACGCTCACCTGGGACACTCACCGGGAACGCTCACCGGCACGCTCACCGTCATGCTCACCGCGGACACTCACCGGCACGCTCACCGTCACGCTCACCGGCACGCTCACCGGCACACTCACCGGCACGCTCACCGGGGAGGCTCACCGGCACGTTCACCGGTACCCTCACCGGCACGCTCACCGGCACGCTCACGGGGACGGTCACTGGCACGAGCGTGGCTCGCCATCGCATCAAATCAAACCGAACTTTACCTTGCATAGCACAATTCGTGCAAGGAATGCAATGCAAAGTGCCTCACGGGACACATTAAAGGCGAATGATGCAATTTAAACACCAGTGCGATAAATACACGAAAAAAGACGTGACATAATGAACTAAAAGTTCCATGCAAAGAATAATAAGCACACAATCAGGGCATCCTAATTAAAGTCCAATCTAAAAAAGGTACGTGTTTTGATACGTCGTTGAAAAACATTCCCTCATTCTAACGCCCTCAGATCTTGGGGCAGAGCCGTTCCAAAGGCGAGGGCCGCAGAAGCTAACGGCGGCCTCCTGGCGCCCGGCCACGCCGTGCAACGCGACGATGTCTCTGTTCCACCTCGTGAAGCCGGAACGCGGCGGGGGGGGGAGGGGGTGAGAAGTCCTCGGCTCCACGAGCAGCCCAGGGCACCTTCGAGGAAGAGGCTGTGGCAGGGCAGCCAGGGGTGGTCCACGTTGACGAGATGCAGGAATCTCCCCGGCAGGCTCACGGCCACAAACCCATCTGTGGGGTGGCGCGCAAATACAGGGCACGGGTGCACTCTCTCAAAACCATTGCCAACACCGTCACCGCCGCCGCCGCCGCCACCACCACCACCACCACCACCGCCGCCACCACCACCACCACCGCCACCACCACCACCACCGCCACCACCACCACCACCTCCGCCGCCGCCACCACCACCACCGCCACCACCAGCACTACCGCCACCACTGGCACCATGACCAACTCGACCAGATGACAATGAGGTGTGCGCGTGTGTGTGCGTGTGTGTGCGCGTGTGTGTGTATGTGTGCGCGTGTGTGTGCGTGTGTGTATGTGTGTGCGTGTGTGTGCGTGTGTGTGCGTGTGTTTATGTGTGTACGTGTGTGTGCGTGTGTGCGTGTGTGCGTGTGTGTGCGTGTGTGCGTGTGTGTGCGTGTGTGTGTGTGCGTGTGTGTATGTGTGTGCGTGTGTGTGCGTGTGTGTGCGTGTGTGTATGTGTGTGCGTGTGTGTGCGTGTGTGTGTGCGTGTGTGTGTGCGTATGTGTGCGCGTGTGTGTGCGGGTGTGTATGTGTGTGCGTGTGTGTGCGTGTGTGTGCGTGTGTTTATGTGTGTACGTGTGTGTGCGTGTATGTGTGTGTATATGTGTGCGTGTGTGTGCGTGTGCGTGTGTGTGCATGTGTGTGCGTGTGTGTGTGTATGTGTGTGCGTGTGTGTGCGTGTGTGTGTGCGTGTGTGCGTGTGTGTGTGCGTGTGTGCGTGTGTGTGCGTGTGTGCGTGTGTATGTGTGCGCGTGTGTGTGCGGGTGTGTATGTGTGTGCGTGTGTGTGCGTGTGTGTGCGTGTGTTTATGTGTGTACGTGTGTGTGCGTGTATGTGTGTGTATGTGTGTGCGTGTGTGTGCGTATGTGTATGTGTGTGCGTGTGTGCGTGTGTGTGCGTGTGTGTGTGCGTGTGTGTGTGCGTATGTGTGCGCGTGTGTGTGCGTGTGTGTGTGTGCGTGTGTGTGCGTGTGTGTGTGTGCGTGTGTGTATGTGTGTGCGTGTGTGTGCGTGTGTGTATGTGTGTGCATGTGTGTATGTGTGTGCGTGTGTGTATGTGTGTGCGTGTGTGTGCGTGTGTGGTGGCACACCGAGGGGTGTGAAGAGCAGCAGTTCCCGCTGGAAAGCCACGGAGCCGGCATCAACCTCGAACCCAAACGAGTATCCTGCACACAAAGACAAAGATCCCCCATGTTGCATTTGTAGCCTTCTACAGATTGTAGGGGCAAGTGCTGTTAGCGAGCAGCACCTATGAAGGCCGGCACGGCACACGAGGTGGTGGGTGGCCAACTCCACACCAGACGGCCTTTGTCTCCCCAGTGGCGATGTTTACACATCCTACCAGGTACTCATTTGAGGCTGAGTCGACCTAGGGGAGGCCCACGACCGGTTCAAATCATCGTCACTGGTTTTGGCCGTGAATCGAACCAGGGTCACAGCTCCCCACACGGGGGATACGTACGGACGTACACACACACACACGCACACACGCACACACACACACAAACACACACGCGCACGCACACACACGCACGCACAAACACACACGCGCACGCACACACACACACACGCACGCACAAACACACACGCGCACGCACGCACACACACACGCACGCACACACACACACAAGCACAACAACAACAACCGCCATTCGCCACTAAGTGGCGGTGAGGTCACCACGACGCTTGTGCCAGGCCATGTGCACCTTGAGGCCACGTGAAGTGTCGAACGCCCGCAGGCAGGAGGTCACGGAGCAGACCCTGACTGAGATGACTGGCTGGTGCACCACCTGTGCCCCCTACTGTGCCAACCTGCAGTGCTTTAGCCACCCGGCGCTCCGCTCGTTGTTGTGAGCGTCGCTCCTTCGCCCTCCGTTGTTGTTGAAGGGCGACTGCCTCCAACTGCCCAATAGCATCCTTCACGAGCCTCCTCCACAGAGGCCGATCTTGACACCGCTGGTACCAGTCATCGGCAAGTCCACTGAGCTCCACGTCCTCCTGTACCACATCACTCCATCTCTTCTCTAGCTAGTGCCGCGCCCGTTTAGCCCCCTCGATCCGGCCGAACAAAAGTTGTTTCGGCATGCGGTGGCTGGGTATGCGGGCTACATGACCCAGCCAACGCAGCCTTGCCTGCCGGAGGAGCTGACCGATGGGACCTTGCCCAGATTTTTCAAGGATTTGTGAGTTCCTCCACAATCCAGCCTGGTTAAACCCAGGATGGATCGTAGGCAGGCCAGCTTAAATGTTTCCAACCGGCGAAGATGCTCCATTAAGGGGGTCCACGTTTCGCAAGCGTAGAGAGAGGAGGGAATGACCGTGGCCGAGAAGACCTGAAGCTTAGTGCGGAGCGACAGACCAGGTAGCTTCCACACAGCGTTACGCAACCGATGAAGAGATATTGCCGCTCGACTGATTCGGAGTGAGACCTCTGCTGTTAAACTGGAGCCGGTCATAAGCACACTGCCCAGGTATGGGAAACTCTCCACTCTCTCCACAACTGCCCCATCACCGATTGGGAGTTGTGGGGGTGGAGTGTCCGATGGTACAAAATACCCAGGCAGGTGCTTAGTTTTGGTGGGGCTAATGGTAAGGCCCCACATCTCTTAGTGGCACGCTCCAGTCTCAGCAGCAGCGTCTCCAACTCCTCCTCTGAATGAGCAGCTATTACCAAATCATCGGCATACATAACGTGGTTGAGGAATAGGGAGCCATCCCTTGACCGCACCCGGGCATCGATCAGCCTCCCATTATATCTGTACCATATGGAGATTCCTCCGGTACAGCTATTGAAGGCTTCACAAACTACGTGGTCAAAATTGATGTTAAATAATGTGGGAGCCAGAGGACATCCCTGTCGCACCCCAAGGTGTACAGGGAATGGCTCTGACTCCCGGCCATGTAGTTTTACCCGGGCCCGCTCACCATCATGAAGGTCCTTAATGATCATGAACAGAGAGTCAGGAACTCCAAAAGCACGAAGAACAACCCAGAGCCCAGGCCTATTGATGGTATCATAGGCCTTGACTAGGTCAATGAAGCAGAAATGTAGGTCTTGTTGGAATTCCCTACACCTCTGCTGTAGCATACGGACAAAAAATATGGCATATGTGCAGGACCGCCCTTTCTGAAACCGCATTGGGGCTCCGCAAGCCTCTCCTCAGCGTGCCTGGCAAGGCGATGTTGAATAATCCTTGCCAGGACCTTTCCCGGCACACTGAGGAGTGAGATGCCCCTGTAATTGTTACAGTCTGTGCGGTCCCCCTTCTTAAAGAGGGGGACCACCAGGGCATCCTTCCAATCCTGCGGAACCCGTCCAATGGTCCAGACTGTTGTTATGATGTCATATAGGGCAGTCTGTGCACAAACGCCACCCTCCCTCAGCATTTCGCTTGGGAGATCATCTCTGCCCGCTGCCTTTCCTGGTCTCAGACTCCGGATCGCCTTCAGTACTTTCTCAACAGATGGTACTTCAGCCAGCCACTCACAGGGGGTGACTTCTTCCAATATTTGAGGCACCGCAGCCTCAGCACTGTCATCCTCACTTTGTGCCACGATGTTTTCCTGGCTGAGGGATTTTCCCTCCCCCAGGACCTCACAGAAATGCTCAGCAAATCTGCAAACCTGTTCCTGGGGATCGGAGATTGGATCACCGTTTTTTCCCCTAATGATGGTAATAGGTGTGGCGCTGCAGGTTACTTTTTTGATGGAGTTAAATAGAGTTTTGTGATCGCGGGCCACTGAGGCAGACTCCATCTCCTCAGCAACCCGCGACTACCACCCATCCTTGCAGTGCCTCACGGCTCTCCGAACCTCCGAGCGAAGGCTGCGGTAAGCCTCCTCATTCTCTGACATGGGATTCTGTAGCCGATGACAGTGGGTCTGTCGCTTTTTCTCAACCATCCTGAACAACTCCTCTGTCAGCCAGGGTCTCTGGGGAGGTCCGGACCGCGTACCCAAAGCAGCCATTGCAGCTGCATGAGTCACAGTCCTAAACCTCGCCCATTTACCCTCGACATCAGGAGGAGTGTGGGACGATGCCAACCCCAGCCGCAAGCGATGATGAAATTCTCGCTTGCAACTTTCATCAGATAACTGAGACCACGCCACTTTAGGTTGGAATGGGGTCCTGGGTGTACACCCACCACCGGAGCGGAAGAATGGCAGGCGCATCTTACAGATGACAAGTCCATTGTCAGAGGGCAGATCAGCTCCACGGTAGTTCCTGGTGTCAAGGACATGGCTCGAATCCGCTGGTCCGTCACTATGTAGTCCAGCAGATGTTCTTGCTTGGACCCGGCATGCATCCATGATGTTGTGAAGATGCGCCGATGCCAGAACAGCGTGTGGTAATTACAAGCCCATGGGCTGCACAAAAATCTAGCAGCCTCCTACCGTTGTTATTGAGCTGATCTGGCCCATGCCCTCCAATCACTCCAGACCAGGTGCCAGCATCATGACCAACTCGGGCATTGAAGTCACCCAACAAGAGGAGCCACTTTAGCCAGCACCTGTGACAGGAGGTTATAGAAGGCATCTGACTCATCAGCTTTGCCTGCATCCCTCCACGGATGTTCGTCTTCGGTGGGGGCATAAGTAACCACGACCACCACTCCTCGCCTCCGGTTGATGGGAAGGCAAGCCCAAAGTAGCCTGGGGCTTACAGCTTCCCACACCTCACCGCCACACTCTCACGCCCCCTTCATTCTTTTATTAAAAAGAAGAGCCACACCCTGTTGTTTGGCAGTCTACTGCCCCGAGTAGAGGACTGTCCACCCCTCATGGTGGAAGGAGCCAGAACCGGTCCACCGGACCTCCTGAATGCCACAGAGATCCAGGCGGTACCAGTCCAGCTCCCGACAGAGCAGTGGCAGCCTCTCATCTGCAGTGAGCGTTCGAACATTCCACGTGGCCATCCGTAGTGGCTTTTCGTTGTTTCTGGAGGAGCCCCGAGGGTAGAGATTCAATCTCCTGGCTCCGCCAAATGGGGTTTGGCCAGGAGATGTCATAGACGCCTGTCCCCCTGGGGCCTCCGGCACAAGCTTATTAGTTACATATTTAATTCGTGGTTTAGTGGTAATTTATTGAAGGTGGAGGGGTTACAAGCCTCTCGCACCCATCCAGAGCCCCCGTTTAGCCACTGTGGTGGTCACAGACGCCATGAGGGGAGGAGCCAATCGGAATTGGCCCTCCCCCCACAGCACTGTCCACGACAGAGTTGCCCGTCCGGCACCGCGAGGAGGTAGGGGGTTGTTTTGCCGCATGCACGCACACACACACACGTACACATACGCACGCACACACACATGCACACACACGCACGCACACACGCACGTGCACACACACACGGGACGCAGAAACGAATCGGACTGTGATTGAGACCAATCTCTCACCGTGATGGACCATGAGGATGGAATAGCGCACGGCTTGCCTCGCCGGCCCCTCTTGATAGCAGATGCACAGCGCTCCTGCCTCAACACAGCGGCACAGATCGCACGCGGCGCAAGTTCTACGCAGACCGGCTGTTGGCGAGCGCCCGAGCGGGGCCTCTTCCCCGGTGGTGGTGTTCACACACCGCGTACCGGGCACTAATTTGAGGCTGAGCTGACCTAGGCGAGGCCCAAGACAAAGGGTGAAACGCGAGCCTCTGCGACGGGCGTTTGCGACCCCACAGACACCGAGCCGGCGCCTGCGATTGCGCCCGGTGGTTCGCATAGAGACCCATAGACTAACACATAGACCCATAGACTAACACACAGACCCATAGACTAACACACAGACCCATAGACTAACACACAGACCCATAGACTAACACAGAGACCCATAGACTCGCATAGAGACCCTTAGACTCACACAGAGACCCATAGACTAACACAGAGACCCATAGATTAACACAGAGACCCATAGACTCGCATAGATACCCATAAACTCACACACAGACCCATAGACTAACACAGAGACCCATAGACTCGCATAGAGACCCATGCTCACACACAGACCCATAGACTAACACAGAGACCCATAGACTAACACAGAGACCCATAGACTCGCATAGATACCCATAGACTCACACACAGACCCATAGACTAACACAGAGACCCATAGACTCGCATAGATACCCATAGACTCACACACAGACCCATAGACCCACATAGAGACCCATAGACTTGCATAGAGATCCAAAGACGAACACAGAGACCCATAGACTCGCATAGAGACCCATAGACTAAAACAGAGACCTATAGACTAACACAGAGACCCATAGACTCACACACAGACCCATAGACTAACACATAGACCCATAGACTCGCATAGATACCCATAGACTCACAAACAGACCCATAGACTCGCATAGAGACCCATATACTCACACACAGACCCATAGACTAACACAGAGACCCATAGACTAACACACAGACCCATAGACTCACACACAGACCCATAGACTAACACAGAGACCCATAGACTCACATAGATACCCATGGACTCACATACAGACCCATAGACTCACATAGAGACCCATAAACTCGCATAGAGATCCAAAGACCAACACAGAAACCCATAGACTCGCATAGATACCCATAGACTCACACACAGACCCATAGACTCACATAGAGACCCATAGACTCGCATAGAGATCCATAGACTAACACAGAGACTCATAGACTAACACAGACACCCATAGACTCACACACGGACCCATAGACTAACACAGAGACCCATAGACGGCAGGGCGACCGTGGACTCACCCGACTCTCCACACACGACGCGCAGCGACGGGAAGTCCGCCGGCTGGCCTGAGGGCGCGCTCGCGTTGACAAACCTGCGGCATGGAACAGACACAGCGCGAGTCGAGCCTTGGATCCGACCGGGGTCAAAGACTCTCCCCTGCTCCAGCAAACAGTCTTTAGGACCCATGTCTAACAGAAAGGGCTCTTGCCTATAAACGTCTGGCAGTTCGCCTGCATTGGTTCAAGCAAAGCCCAAACGTCAAGACCGGTCCAACATTTTTCCTGTTTTACCCCAATGTCGCTCATATTTTACGCTCGCACCCACCATGATGGACTGTGCACGACAGGCACTTGTTGAAGCGGTATCCTTGGAGGGACGGACACGCGAAGGAGGCGGATACGACTGAACACGCCAATTCATTGTGTGGCTTATACTCTGGACGACGCTGCTAGCACGCGCGTGTGTGCACACTGCGCCGGTGGTGATGTGTACACACTGCGCCGGTGGTGATGTGTACACACTGCGCCGGTGGTGATGTGTACACACTGCACCGGTGGTGATGTGTACACACTGCGCCGGTGGTGATGTGTACACACTGCGCCGGTGGTGATGTGTACACACTGCGCCGGTGGTGATGTGTACAGACTGCACCGGTGGTGATGTGTACACACTGCGCCGGTGTTGATGTGTTCACACTGCGCAACTGCCCAGTAGCGTCCTTCACGAGCCTCCTCCACAGAGGCCGATCTTGACACCGCTGGTACCAGTCATCGGCAAGTCCACTCAGCTCCACGTCCTCCTGTACCACGTCACTCCATCTCTTCTCTAGCCCGTGCCGCGCCCGCTTAGCCCCCTCAATACGGCCGAACAAAAGCTGTTTCGGCATGCGGTGGCTGGGCATGCGGGCTACATGACCCAGCCATCGCAGCCTTCCCCGCCGGAGGAGCACACCGATGGGACCTTGCCCAGATCTTTCAAGGATTTGTGAGCTCCTCACACAATCCAGTCTGGTTAAACCCAGGATGGATCGTAGGCAGGCCAGCGTACATGTTTCTCACCGGCGAAGATGTTCCATTAGGGGGGTCCACGTTTCGCAAGCATAGAGAAGGGAGGGAATGACCGTGGCCGAGAAGACCTGAAGCTTAATGCGGAGCGACAGACCAGGTAGCTTCCACACAGCGTTACGCAACTGATGAAAAGATATTGCCGCTCGACTGATTCGGAGTGAGACCTCTGCTGTTAAACTGGAGCCAGTCATAAGCACACTGCCCAGGTATGGGAAACTCTCCACTCTCTCCACAACTGCCCCATCACCGATGGGCAGTTGTGGGGGTGGAGTGTCCGATGGTACAAAATACACACACCACACACACCACACACACACATCACACACACACGCACCACACACACACACCACACACACACACACCACACACACACACCACACACACCACACACACACAACACACATCATACACACACACCACACACACCACACACACACCACACACACACGCACCACACACACACACCACACACGCACACACACACACCACACACACACCACACACACCACACACCACATACACACACCACACACCACACACACACCACACACACACACGCACACACACACACCACACACACACCACACACCACATACACACACCACACACCACACACACACCACACACACACACGCACACACACACACCACACACACACCACACACACCACATACACACACCACACACACACACACGCACCACACACACCACACACACACAACACACACACACCACACACCACACACACCACACACCACATACACACACCACACACACACACACACCACACACACACACACGCCGGACGCCGCTTCACTGCGCTTGCACGGACTCCGCACCCATCCTCACCGGCGGTCCGGGCTCCAGGCGCAGGAAGGCAAACTCAGCTCCAACTACGTGCCGACACACGGCAGACAGAATGCGTCGTCAGCAAACACAAACAGATTCGCCGTCGCTGCGTTTTATTTATTTTTCTCCCGGGACGACGACAAAAAATAATCGGCCAACCGGCGGGCGGAAAAGAATCCCCCCGGTAGAAACATTTTTTAAAGCCGCGAGTTGCGCCCCGCCGGACGCCGCCACCCGCCGCCGTGCTCGCACCCACCATGAGCTGGTACAAGCGGTCGGGGTAGAATTGAAGGCATCGCAGAGTGGGGCCACCCCCACCACCGCCACTACCGCCTCCTCCTCCTCCTCCACCTTCCTGCTGCTGCTGCTCCTGCTGTCACACGCACGTGATTCGCAACAGGGTGTTGGCTCGAGAGCAGAGCTCGCTTGAGGGTAGGGTCGGCCTCGAGACGGCGAGCGAAAGGCTCTGCAACCGGTTGCGGAGACGCCCGAGCGACTGCTCGCCGCGCTGTTGCCACGGCGACCGCGAGCGTGCGGCTTCGCTCCCCGTGCGGCTGCGCACGTGGGCGTGTTGCATCACCGTCGTCATTCTGCACCGACCACCGCGGCGTCAAGACCCTCCGCCACCCGACGGAGCGTAGCAGTTGGACACACATCTCGTGATCTAACTTCAAAATCGGTGAAGTATGACTGGCTGGGGATTGGCTAATGGTTCCTGATTGACAGATTTGTGCAGTCAGGAACCCCACCACCACCTGACGCAGGTAAACCACGTTTTTTCTCAACCAAATTATATAATTTAGCACATTGCACCTATTCGCCCCATTTGGTGGCGAGACGCATCTTCTGTTTTCCGTGTGCCTCGGAGGCGACACAAATCACGTGGACCCTGTGCCCAGCACTGCGATCCGAGCCCTGCGGCCTCACCGCTGCGCTGAGCAGGTAGAAGAGCCTTTGGCCCCGTGGGTCCCACTGGCTCCAGGCACACGCGGGGAGCACAAGCTCACTGGGGGCGGCGCTGTACGGAGGGTCCTGCGGGCGGAGACACGGGGGAGGGGGGGGTTGGTGCGGGGGATGTTAGGTGGCGAATAGTGGAGGGGGTGTTTGAGGGGAGTGTTATTTGGGCGGTTAGCGGGGGGGTTAGTGGAGGGGTTAGTGGGCGGGGAGTTAGTTGGGGGGGTTATTGGGGGGAGTTAGTGGGTGGGGAGTTAGTGGGGGGGTTGTGAGAGATGGTTAGTGGTGGGGGGGGGGCTGTGGTCAAAAAAAATCCCAAAGCATGCATCGCAGCCAAAAGCAAACACCGGGCGGAGTGAACTCAGCACTACAGCATGCGATTAGAGGCAATGTTTAATATGAAATTACGCATTCGATGTTGCCGATAATTGACCATATACTCAATAAGGTTCGTGCAAGATGACCAAAAACACAGTGCGGGTAAACCTTGCCCAGCGCGGCTTTTACCGAGCGTGCGTGTTTTCCGCTCGATGTGCGTGTGTCCAACTTCTTTCGCACCACACGTGGCCAACCATGCCAAAAACCGTATGCAACGGTGGTGCCGAGGGGAGGTCTACTTCACGGAACGCGGATTTGACCCTGCTCGGATCCTCATCCCCGCCTGGAAGAGTCGTGCCGTTGCGGGTGCTGCGTCCGCTCGAACAATTCACTGATTTGCCTCGCATGCGGATGGGCATTTGTTTTTTGCTCAAAGCGAATAAAATGTTCACACGTTGTCGCTTTGCGTTAAAGCTGCACGGTCGTTGACGGACGGCATACGGACGCCTGGATGGCGAATCTTGAACGTTGGAGTTCCAGCGTCAAGGGAGCCACGGTGCTATTTCTATTTATTTTCTATTCTACTTTTATCTTACCAGGTAAGGCCCACTGAGCCGCTACACGGTTATTTATCAGCAGCCACCTGGCCACAAATGATAGCTCAACGAAGTGCCTTATCACGTGGAAATGTATAGCGGTAGCCAAATATTCTAAACGCGTGATGTTGAATCTAAATGTGGGAGGGAAAAACCGGAGGACCCGGAGAAAAATCCATGCGACCACGGGAAAAGAGAGAGACACCGCAAACTCCAAAGATACAGCAGGCATCAGGGTCGGGATCAAAACCACTGATCGCCTGCATACCAGGCGAGGTAGTTAACATCTCAAAGCCACCGTCGTGCAGGATGAGGAATGGAAACGGGGGTTTTGAGTTAAGGTGACGTTTTTAAATAGTGCACACACTAGAATTAACAAGTGGTGTAAATCGTATAGAATTAGTTAAACAATCTGGGAGTGTGCGATCATTTCGGACCCAGGAACGCAACCATTTTTTTCCCACAACATTTATTATTTCTGCAACGCGGTTTTGCCCAACACGGCATCGTCCAGGAACGTAACCCCCGCGTCCACTGAGGCCTGCCTGAACGTAAACAAACCGCAACAGCTTTGCCGTACAAAACCAGTGGAGAATACAATTAGGCAGCAGGGCATCGTGAGAGAGACCCAAGACGCGAGGCCTGCCTTCTGGAAGCGCACGCTCCTGAAGATGCTTGGGGCAGTTTAATTTTTTTCAAGGCGAAACGTCGCGCGTGTCCTAACGGCGCTCAACTTGCCGGCGCGGCTCTGTGAGAATCGTTCTCCGGGAGCCGACCTCCGGCCGGCGAGCCGCGCGCTTTGCCGCACGGCAGCCACGTGGCCCCGCCGGCTGCGGCAAATGTCCGTACGTGTGTGAACATTGGACTTCTTTCGCACCGCACATGGCCAGCCGTGCTAATCGGATGTGCGGTGGGGAAGGACAACAAATTAAACACGAAAAGCAGTTTTATATAAATTATTTTGTCAATCTAGTGATGATTTAAAAGTGCATCGCTCCCAGTGGCTGCCTCATTTCAGAAGAGCGTTCCAGACGGCCGCAGAAGCGCATCTCAAACCACGCGATGCGGTGACCGCAGTTCGCGTGATGATGGTTTATGCCCCTTGACGAGATCAGCGAGGTATTGTGGTTCATTTGCGGCAAGCACTTTGTGTGTACAGTGCGTTCGTTCGGCCACCGGAAGCCAATGCAGCTCGGCGGGCACCGGGCGGGCAGGGCTGTGATCCTGCAGTACCCATCACGACACGTGCCAAAGATTGTTGTGCACGCCGCAGCTTGCTAGTGTCTGCGTGCGCCAGGGGCGAGGACCGTCGTCCTCTGGGGGAGAGAGCGACCTTCGCCGAAGCCGCCGCCGCCGCCGTGCCGGGCTGCTTGCCGGCGACGAAGCGACACACCACCTCGTCGCAGGAGCCTGGCCGCGCCGCACCCCCCGCACCGCAGCGCATCACGAACACTCCCGCCGCGCCCTGCCCATCGCAGACGAAAACAAAAAAAACAACTCACGTCGTTGCTAGATGTTAGAACGGACGAGTTTTGCTGGCTGGCTGGCTGGCTGGCGGGCTGACCGGCCGACCGGGCGGGCCAAGTGCGCGCGTGACGGCGTCAGCGTGTACGCCTGCGCGATGATCGCCGCCGCCGGCGTCCCTCCCCCTCTCCCCCAGCCTCCCTCCACCCACGGCCGTGGGTCCCGCGCAAATGCGAGGGCAGTGCGAACGCGGTGGAGGGTCGCGAAAGGGGGACACACGTTGGGGTCGGTGCGAAACGCCACGTGGGCACACCCTAAGGCAATCATCAACGAGAGGCGGCCGAGGCACAGCCGGCCAGGGGATTGGAAGCCGTGTGGCTGGTTGCGATGTGTGACAACGCCACTTTTTTCAAATTTTCTTGCTGTGGTTTTCACACCTGATGATGATTGCTTGTGTTGCAGTCGAAACGTCGTGAGAATTGTATTGTTTTATATTTTTATCATTTTATTGTTACCCTTCTACGTGACTTTACCGAAAGAACCAAGAATATGAATCCCTGCAGTCACGAAAGCTTTAAATCAAAACAACAACAAAGACAACCCTGATTTTAGTCCTTCACGCGAGGACACAGACGTGGGAACGAGGCGTCTGTCCGACTGTTTGTCAAGTTACAAAGCAGGCTCCAGCCGGCGCGGGGCCCCGGAGACAAACACTGGGAGTGGTGAGGGGGGGGCGGGGGAGCTTCAAACAAACACGACGCAGCCTCCTCCTCCTCACCTGTGGACTCTCCGCGTCGCTGCCGCTGGGTCTCACGTGGAAGAGTTGGACCCCTGGGGGTGCAAGAGGAAGGAGACGCGGACACAAACGTGAGACTCGAGAATCCGCAGCCGTCCATTATTCAAGAATGAGGGGGGGGGGGCGATGTTGCTGCTTCGTGCGTGTATCATCCCATCTTGGTGATTCGCGGGTAGTTGTATCAATTCGAATGCTACAACTGCTATATTTTTTATTTTACCAAGTGAGTCCCACTGAACTATGTATCTCTTTATCAGAAGCAACCTGGCCACGAAAGACAGCTCAACGAAAGTGGCTTATCATTGTGTAGACATTTATAACGGCCAAACACAACAAACGCGCGTTTCTAAATGTGCAGAGAGAAACGGGAATACCCGGAGAAAAGTCCACGCGGCCACGGTGAGAACACGCAAACTCCAGTAGGCATCAGGGTCGGGATCGAACCCACGCACCTCCTGCATACCGGGCGAGGCCGTCAACATCTCGCCACCTCGGCACCCCACGCGTGTCTAAACCGAGCTCAGCAACTGCTCGACGTGCATGTGACTCGACAGATGAGGAAGGGGGAAGTAGGAGGAGGAAGGAGGAAGGAGGAGGAACAAAGCGAGTGTCGTGAGGCAGAGAGGCAGCGCCAATGGTCCACACTCGCAGTGGCACGGCGCTAACGCCACTGGCTGCGGCCCCATCGCAGCCAAAGGTGGGGGCCGACCGCCGTGACGGCTCCGGTGAGGCCTCAACACAACGCAGTGGGGGAGGCAAGGGGGGGGGGGGGGGGGCGCTGGTCGGGACCGAACTTCGTGCCGCGGGGCCGACGCCGCTCCGGAGTCGCCCGGCTGGCGCCGGGTGTGGTGGACCCCACCCCCCACTCCCCCCCGCCAATCTAAGTGAGGATGTCCAGCTTGTAACACCGCGTAGCACGGCCGGGAGTTTCACCGAAACAAACAAAAAATCCCGGCCCAAGGGGAGGGGGAGGGGGCACAAAACCCGCGGCTCCGGAGGAGCGAGCGGCTCTGTAAGGGACCGCTGCCTCGTGGCGTCGTTTGTAGCGACGGGGGGCGACGTCTCGCATTGGCCACAAGGAATCGCGGCTCTTGCAATGTTTGTAGGAGAGTTTTTTCTGTTTGTTTTGTCTACGGAAAGCCTCTTGTTTGTTATTTTGGTTTGTGACCCCCCCCGCCACCCCCCCCCCCGGTCCCTGGCGCTCGCTCGCTCACCCTGCCGCGTCTGGAAGTTTCAGTAAATCTGGATTCGTTTCTGGCACGGATAAGTACGGGAATTGGCAGCAGCAGCATGAGGAAGCCATACTTCCAGTGTCGGAGGTCACCAGGAGGTGGCTTTCTTGCTCACGATCATCGCCGCTGCTGCCGTACAGGAACTGGGGAGAGCGGACACAGCAGGCGCACGTGACCCCCCCAAACAGCAGGCACGTGACCCCCACACAGCAGGCACGTGACCCCCCCACACAGCAAGCACGTGACCCCCCACACAGCAGGCACGTGACCCCCCACACAGCAGGCACGTGACCCCCCACACAGCAGGCACGTGACCCCCACACAGCTGTATGTGACCCCCCACACAGCAGGCACGTGACCCCCCACACAGCAGGCACGTGACCCCCCACACAGCCGTAAGTGACCCCCCACACAGCAAGCACGTGACCCCCCACACAGCAGGCACGTGACCCCCCACACAGCAAGCACGTGACTCCCCACACAGCAGGCACGTGACCCCCCACACAGCAAGCACGTGACCCCCACCCCCGCCTCGCCCTCCCACACAAAGCGACGTTCGCTGAGTCAGGGCACCGCGTGGCGCCCTGGAGATAAGCGCGGGTCGTGTGAGAAAGAGGAAGCCGGCGCTTCCACAGCGCCACGATTGGTCGCCAATCAGGGGAGAGGTCAAGGAGTCGCCTCGCTCGCTGCTGCTCAGCCACGCTCAGCAGCAACACAGCACTTGCGGAGTGCAGAGGTCAGGTCATCGTCACCGATGTTGGCCGTTCGTAGCGCGGCGTCGCGCTGACCGCCCACTACGGCTCCCCGGTGGTTCTCAATTTACTTACTTTGAAACAAAGTTGTAACTTCACGTGCCCGTGCTTAATTTGTGCTTTCGATGAATTTACCGTCTCGCACCCCCAGGGGGTGGCGTCCACCCCAGGTTAAGAAGAAGAAGCACTACTCTACACAAAGACAAAGATCCCCGGTATAGCCTGAACAGACTGTTTGGGCAAGTGCCGTTAGCGAGCATCTATGAAGGCCGACACGGCACACGAGGGGGTGGGTGGCCAGCACCACGCCCGGCCGCCTTTGTCTCCTCAATGGCGATGCTTACACACCGCATCAGGTACTCATTTGAGGCTGAGTCGACCTAGGGGAGGCCCATGACCGGGTAAAATAAACGTAACTGGTGTGGGCCGTGAGTGGGAATCGAACTCGGGTCGCCGGGTTTGTAGCGTGGCGCGCAAACCGCTACACCACCGCTCCCCATCACTGCTCTATACACACACAACACAACAACAACCGCCAATCGCCACTAAGTGGCGGTGACGTCACCACGACGCTTGTGCCAGGCCATGTGCACCTTGAGGCCACGTGAAGTGTCCCGCTGCCAGGCGGTCACGGGGCAAACCCAGGTGCCACGGGTCGACTGACTAAGATGCCTGAGATGGCTGGCTGATGCATCACCTGTGCCCCCTACTGTGCCAACTTGCTGTGCTTTAGCCACCCGGCGCTCCGCTCGTTGTTGTGAGCGTCGCGCCTCCACCCTCCGTTGTTGTTGGAGGGCGACTGCCTCCAACTGCCCAGAAGCGTGCTTCATGAGCCTCCTCCACAGAGGCCGATCTTGACACCGCTGGTACCAGTCATCGGCAAGTCCACTCAGCTCCACGTCCTCCTGTACCACATCACTCCATCTCTTCTCTAGCCCGTGCCGCGCCCGCTTAGCCCCCTCAATCCGGCCAAACAAAAGCTGTTTCGGCATGCGGTGGCTGGGCATGCGGGCTACATGACCCAGCCAACGCAGCCTTCCCCGCCGGAGGAGCTCACCGATGGGACCTTGCCTAGATCTTTCAAGAATTTGTGAGCTCCTCACACAATCCAGTCTGGTTAAACCCAGGATGGATCATAGGCAGGCCAGCCAAAATGTTTCTAACCGGCGAAGATGTTCCATTAGGGGGGTCCACGTTTCGCAAGCGTAGAGAAGGGAGGGAATGACCGTGGCTGAGAAGACCTGAAGCTTAGTGCGGAGCGACAGACCAGGTAGCTTCCACACAGCGTTACGCAACCGATGAAAATATATTGCTGCTCGACTGATTCGGAGTGAGACCTCTGCTGTTAAACTGGAGCCAGTCATAAGCACACTGCCCAGGTATGGAAAACTCTCCACTCTCTCCACAACTGCCCCATCACCGATTGGGAGTTGTGGGGGTGGAGTGTCCGATGGTACAAAATACCCAGGCAGGTGCTTAGTTTTAGTGGGGCTGATGGTAAGGTCCCACCTCTTAGTGGCACGCTCCAGTCTCAGCAGCAGCGTCTCCAACTTCCTCCTCTGAATGCGCAGCTATTACCAAATCATCAGCATACATAACGTGGTTGAGCAATAGGGAGCCATCCCTTGACCGCACCCGGGCATCGATCAGCCTCCCATTATATCTGTACCATATGGAGATTCCCCCGGTACAGCTATTGAAGGCTTCACGAACTACGTGGTCAAAATAGATGTTAAATAATGTGGGAGCCAGAGGACATCCCTGTTGCACCCCAAGGTGTACAGGGAATGGCTCTGACTCCCAGCCACGTAGTTTTACCCGGGCCCGCTCACCATCATGAAGGTCCTTAATGATCGTGAGCAGAGGGTCAGGTACTCCAAAAGCACGAAGAACAACCCAGAGCCCAGGCCTACTGATGGTATCATAGGCCTTGACCAGGTCAATAAAGCAGAGATGTAGGTCTTGTTGGAATTCCCTACACCTCTGCTGTAGCAGACGGACAGAAAATATGGCATCTGTGCAGGACCGCCCTTTCCTGAAACCGCATTGGGGCTCCGCAAGCCTTTCCTCAGCGTGCCTGGCAAGGCGATGTTGAATAATCCTTGCCAGGACCTTTCCTGGCAGACACACACACGCACACACAGACATACACACAGACACACACACGCACACACAGACATACACACAGATACACACACGCACACACAGACATACACACAGACACACACACGCACACACAGACACACAACGCACACACAGACGCGCGCGCCACCCTAAGTGAGTGACAAGGGGAAGAATCGTTGAGGCCGGGGGGTGCCGGCGAGGGGCTCTCACCTGGCACCAGCTGGAGTCGCCCTCCACTTGCAGCTCGCTCGGCCTCCCTCCGGGCAGCTCCACCACGAAGGCGCGGGCCCCGGGGGGCGCTGCAACACAAAGCGGGCGCCCCAGAACTCCGCTGGGGTGCCTCGGTGGCTAGGACATGTTAACTACCTCGCCTGATACACAGGAGGTCGTGGGTTCGATCCCAACCCTGACGCCTGCTGCTGCTGTATATTTGGGGTTTGCGTGTCTCTCTCTCTCATCATCATCACGGTGGCTAGGAGATGTTAACTACCTCGCCTGGTACACAGGAGGTCGTGGGTTCGATCCCAACCCTGACGCCTGCTGCTGCTGTATATTTGGAGTTTGCGTGTCTCTCTCTCTCATCAACATCACGGTGGCTAGGAGATGTTAACTACCTCGCCTGATATGAAGGTCGTGGGTTCGATCCCAACCCTGACGCCTGCTGCTGCTGTATATTTGGAGTTTGCGTGTCTCTCTCTCTCATCAACATCACGGTGGCTAGGAGATGTTAACTACCTCGCCTGATATGAAGGTCGTGGATTCGATCCCAACCCTGACGCCTGCTGCTGCTGTATATGTGGAGTCTGCGTGTCTCTCTCTCATCATCACGGTGGCTAGGAGATGTTAACTACCTCGCCTGATATGAAGGAGGTCGTGGGTTCGATCCCAACCCTGACGCCTGCTGCTGCTGTATATGTGGAGTTTGCGTGTCTCTCCCTACCTTCGTGGTTGCGTGGATTTTTTACTCCGGGTCCTCCGGGATTTTCCCTCCACGTTAATAATCAACGTCACGCGTTGAGAGCATTTCGCTGCTATACATTTCCAAGCGATGATAAGCCACTTTGTTGAACTCTCATTTGTGATAGCCAGGTTGCTGCTGAAAAAGAGCTACATAGCTCAGTGGGCCTTCCCTGGTAAACAAAACAAAAATAGTTTATCGGTTTTTTTATCATTTGCGATGTCATTCTCAAATTTGTCAAATGTGGACCATGACCCCGCACACAGCGGCCTTCTCTTCCAAATAACTTCACGGGATCTCTACCGTCGAGTGAAGCAGATGGCGCGAAGCATTAATATCGCACCACCGCTGCATTAACCAGGTTGGCCGCTGGATTCGAATTTTTACCATTGGTAGCATGGTGAGACACGTGACGTGTCCACTTTGAATGGTGGCAGCAGCGTGCGACGCGTCAACCTTGTGTTAGAGAACGGCCCACGGAAGCAGATGTCACAGAAGTACTATAGAGAATTACATGAAAAACTCAAATTAAAGATGTGTTGTCATTGGAGACCGGGATGAGACCATCACCTCGCTACACTTAAGAACCCGGCTTAATCACAACTCAATACATGTGCTGCTTTGGGTTTCTATGTGAGTCTATGGGTCTTTGTGTGAGTCTATGGATCTCTATGTGAGTCTATGGGTCCCTATGTAAGTCGAACGAGCTACGGTTTGACTGCCTCGGCGTGTGTGTGTGGCTGTGTACGAGTGTATACGTGCGTGTGTGTACGTGTGTGTACTTGTATGTACGTGTGTGTGTGTACGTGTGTGTGTACGTGTGTGTACGTGTGTGTGTACTTGTGTGTGTACGTGTGTGTGTATACGTGCGTGTGTGTACGTGTGTGTACACGTGTGCGTGCGCGTGTGTACGTGTGTGTGTGTACGTGTATGTACACGTGTGTGTACACGTGTACGTGTGTGTGTGTACGTGTGTGTGTACGTATGTGTATGTGTGTACGTGTGTGTATGTGTGTGTACGTGTGTGTGTACGTGTGTGTGTATACGTGCGTGTGTGTACGTGTGTGTACACGTGTGCGTGTGCGTGTGTACGTGTGTGTGTGTACGTGTGTGTACACGTGTGTGTACGCGTGTACGTGTGTGTGTACGTGTGTGTGTACGTATGTGTATGTGTGTACGTGTGTGTGTACGTGTGTGTATGTGTGTGTACGTGTGTGTGTACGTGTGTGTACACGTGTGTGTACGTGTGTATATGTGTGTGTGTGTACCTGTGTGTGTACATGTGTGTGTACGTGTGTGTGTGTACGTGTGTGTACGTGTGTGTGTACGTGTGAGTGTGTACGTGTGTGTGTGTGTACGTGTGTGTGTACGTGTGTGTGTACGTGTGTGTATGTACGTGTGTGTGTACGTGTGTACGTGTGTGTACACGTGTGTGTACGTGTGTATATGTGTGTGTGTGTGTACGTGTGTGTGTACGTGTGTGTGTGTGTGTGTACGTGTGTGTGTACGTGTGTGTGTACACGTGTGTACGTGTGTGTGTACGTGTGTGTGTACGTGTGTGTGTGTACGTGTGTGTGTACGTGTGTGTGTACGTGTGTGTGTGTACGTGTGTGTGTACGTGTGTGTGTGTACGTGTGTGTATGTACGTGTGTGTGTGTACGTGTGTGTGTGCGTGTACGTGTGTGCGTGTACGTGTGTGTGTGTACGTGTGTGTGTACGTGTGTGTGTACGTGTGTGTACGTGTGTGTGTACACGTGTGTGTGTGTACACGTGTGTGTGCGAGCGCTGGGCAAGCGCTCCGCAGCGGGCCGCCCGCTGCCTCCTCACCTCCCGTGCCGGGCGACTCCGTCGAGGCCGGCCGCTCCGCCGGGGGTTGGAACCAAGAGGACCCCGCGGGATCCTCGGGGCGCGCGGCGCCCGTGGAGGTGGAGGTGGCGGCGCCCGTCACGAACGCTGTGCGGACACGCGGTGCGGACACGCGGTGCGGACACGCGGTGCGGCGAGCGGCGAGGGAGGGAGGGAGGTGAACCACGAGCGAGCGGGCGAGCGGAACCGCGTCGCGCCCATTGCGAGCAGACTCATTCCCACTCACGTGGGCGGCATTGAAGGCATTGGCGCGCGGTTACAGCCCTGCGGAGCCAGTGGTGGGGATTCCTCATTGGTGACGCGCACGCAAATGTGCCGAGAGTCTCCGGGCACCTCTGGTCTGGTAGAAGTGAGGTCCCCATAGAGAGCCACACTCTTAATCTGACGGAGAGAGCGATGTTTGACTTGTCTTGATCCTACTGCGAACAGAGCCTCCAGGTGTATTGAGTTTGACCGAGGTGAGGACTCAGTAGACCAGGGAGAGAGTCTCCATTGCAAGAGCGACTCCGGGTAACCCCAAACAAAAGCAAATGAAGGGACTCCTCTACTTACGAACGAGTTAGGTTCCAGAGGTCTGTTCATAAGTCACTGTGATCGTAAGTCCAATTTTACTCTCCCGTCGATTCCAAATATGTTGTACGGCATGTACACTCAAAATGAGGAATGGCTTAAAAGTTGTATAATCTGTAGATGTAGATACCACTGGTTCTTCATGTTCGGTAGATGTAGATGCCAACACCACCATCTTTTGCGTGGTGGTTGAACTTACGAGTCTCGGTCCGAACAGGCAACTGGACATACGGACAGGTTTGTTCTTATCTCTGAAAATTCGTAAGTCGAGTGTTCGTAAGTAGAGGAGTAGCTCTACCGTTAAATTAAGTACAACAATGAAGACAATATAAATCAGAGCAAGACAAGGACATTGCACAAGACGTAAAAAAAACTGTTCACAAATATCAATCAATCTTAAATAAAGCGTGGGCTTTCGTGAACGAATACAGGGTGCTTTTTATGGAAAAATAACGGATAATAATACGCTGTAACGTGATTAACAAATGTATGTTAATAGCTTCAAAAAGTCAACGAGTCTGCACTTGTTCGCCATCACTGTCAACGCACGCCTGGAATCTTCTCGAGGTGGCCTCAAGAGCACGGAGGCAGCACATTTCTCGTGGCGTTGTTGCAAATTCTACGAAGCGTTAACATTTTTGTGAAGCACCCTCTGTATTGCAATTCACCGCTGATTTTGTCGGTCAGATTGGCGTGAGCCAAATGTCGCGCACGCTCCTCCAACGGACGCGGCCAATTGATGAAGTCGTCACGTGGTGACCAAACGCGGCGACGATGCATTGGGAGCAGCAGCAGCAGCGGCGTTTGGCACGGGCGGCACAGTCACAAGCGGCACCATCGGCCATGTCGCCACCATCGCAACATTTCGGCAGGCGAAGCAACTTTCCATTGCGACATTCCGGCGACGTTCCACAAAACGTTCCGAGTCAGCCTGAGTGGCCGATGGCCGAAAGCTGATCGAGGGCGATCGGCACAAAGGCAAAGATCCCCCGTGTAGCCTTAACAGACTGCCGGGGCACGTGCTGATAGCGAGCAGCACCTATTAATGCCGGCATAGCACACGAGGGGGTGGGTGGCCAGCACCACGCCCGGCCGCCTTTGTCTCCCCAGTGGGCGATGTTTACACACCGCACCAGGTACTCATTGGAGGCTGGGTCGACTTAGGGGAGGCCCATAAACGGTTCAGATAATCGTCACCGGTGTTGGCCGCTCCCCATGGCGCCACACACACACAGTCACACACACACACAGTCACACACACAGTCACACACACACACACAGTCACACACACACAGTCACACACACACATACAGTCACACACACACAGTCACACAGTCACACACACACAGTCGCACACACACAGTCACACACACAGACAGTCACACAGTCACACACACAGTCACACAGTCACACAGTCACACACACAGTCACACAGTCACACACACACAGTCACACACACACACAGTCACACACACACACAGTCACACACAGTCACACACACACAGTCACACACACACAGTCACACACACACAGTCACACACACACAGTTACACACACAGTCACACACACACAGTCACACAGTCACACCCACAGTCACACACACACAGTCACACACACAGTCACACACACACACTCACACACACAGTCACACTCACACAGTCACACACACACACAGTCACACACACACACAGTCACACACACACAGTCACACTCACACAGTCACACACACACAGTCACACACGCGCGTGGCGAAGAGATGCTGCAGAGGGCAACGCGCGGCGCACGCACCGAGCAGCGAGTGCCGCGCGTTCACGGAGCCGCTCAGGACGTCCCCTCCTCCTCCTTCTCCTCCTCCTTCTTCTCCTCCTCCTTCTCCTGCTCCTCCTTCTCCTCCTTCTCCTCCTCCCTGGAGTGCGTGCAGAACCTGGCGGTGGGCAGGATGGGAACGCAGCGCTCAGTCGCGTCCGAGGTGCGATGCCAGCCTCACGCCCCACCCCACCGCCCGCAAATACAAAGATCCCCCGCGTAGCCTTAACAGACTGTTGGGGCAAGTGCTGTTAGCACGGCACACGAGGGACAGCACCACGCCCGACCGCCTTTGTCTTCCCAGTGGCGATGTTTACACAGCGCTCAACGAACTCATTTCAGGCTGAGTCTACCCAGGGGAGGGCCCAGGAGCTGTTAAAATAATCGTCACCGGTGTTGGTGACCATGAGCGGGAATCGAACTCGGGTTACCGGGTTCGTAGTGCACCTCACCCCCACCGTAAAAACACGACGGCCCTCCAATCCCCAACACTCGGCCGACAAACGCTGCGATTGCACCGTCGCCGCATGCCAATCGAGTGCCATCGACGTGATCGGGGTCACGTTTATTGGTGGATGTTAACGACGTACGCGAATGACCTGTGCCAACGATCCGTATTTATTATGGTCCGTGTGAACGTGTCCGCGTGAATGTGTCCGTGTGAATGTGTCCGTGTGGATGTGTCTGTGTGAACGTGTCCGTGTGAACGTGTCCGTGTGGATGTGTCCGTGTGAACGTGTCCGTGTGAACGTGTCCGTGTGGATGTGTCTGTGTGAACGTGTCCGTGTGAACGTGTCCGTGTGGATGTGTCCGTGTGAATGTGTCCGTGTGAATGTTTCCGTGTGGACGTGTCCGTGTGAATGTGTCCGTGTGGACGTGTCCGTGTGAACGTGTCCGTGTGAATGTGTCCGTGTGGACGTGTCCGTGTGAACGTGTCCGTGTTAATGTGTCCGCGTGGACGTGTCCGTGTGAACGTGTCCGTGTTAATGTGTCCATGTAGATGTGTCCGTGTGAACGTGTCCGTGTGAACGTGTCCGTGTGAACGTGTCCGTGTGAACGTGTCCGTGTGAACGTGTCCGCGTGAACGTGTCCGTGTGGACGTGTCCGTGTTAATGTGTCCGTGTGAACGTGTCCGTGTTAATGTGTCCGTGTGAATGTGTCCGTGTGAACGTGTCTGTGTGAACGTGTCCGTGTTAATGTGTCCGTGTGAACGTGTCCGCGTGAATGTGTCCGTGTGAATGTGTCCGTGTGAACGTGTCTGTGTGAACGTGTCCGTGTTAATGTGTCCGTGTGAACGTGTCCGTGTGAATGTGTCCGTGTGGATGTGTCCGTGTGAACGTGTCCGTGTTAATGTGTCCGTGTGAACGTGTCCGTGTGGATGTGTCCGTGTTAATGTGTCCGTGTGAACGTGTCCGCGTGAACGTGTCCGTGTGGACGTGTCCGTGTGGACGTGTCCGTGTGGACGTGTCTGTGTGGACGTGTCCGTGTTAATGTGTCAATGTGTCCGCGTGAACGTGTCCGTGTGAACGTGTCTGTGTGAACGTGTCCGTGTGGACGTGGTCGGGTCACCTTATTCTCCTTGCTCTTGGCGTCGTACAGAGCGATGCAGCGAACCTTCTTGCCGGAGACCTGAAGTCAAATCGGATTCGAGTGGCCATTCACAACATTCAACGACAAAGCTGTGTTGAGAAAACGCCAGCAGAAAGGCAAAACAGTACGTGAGCATCGAGCACGCGCTCATCCCAAGTTTACAGGCCCAGGTAGTGGCAATTCCACAATCCTATGGCGGGGGTGAGTCGGTCGCCCCATAAGACAACCACTGGCGACTTTCCCACAAAGTGGTTCTCGTTGTATCGATCCCGGAGGGAGGAGGTATGATGGGCCGAGACAAACCCCAACCAGGATGTGAACTGGCGAACTTCCGCTTGTGAGCCACGCGCAGCGCCACTGAGCCAAGCCAGATGTTTCAAAGCTGTAAAACACACTTTTACTAAATAATGTTTATTTTACCAAGTAAGGCCCACTCAGCTACATAGCTGTTTTAGTAAGAAGCGACCTGGCTATCACAAATGAAAGTTAAACGAAGTGGGTTATGATGTCGACATTAATAGCAGCCAAATACTCGAAGCGCATCATTCTAAATGTGGAGGGAAACCCCGGAGAAAAATCCACGCGATCAGGGTGGGAGAGAGAGAGACACCAAATATACATCAGGCATCAGGGTCCTGATCGAATCCACGACCTCCTGCACACCAGGCGAGGGAGATAACATCTCGCCACCGCGGCGCCCATGAGATTTTGGCCTGAACGCTTTTTTGAGATAGCGCTGCCGTGCCATCATTGTAATCATCACTGAGTTTATTTTATTTGTTACACGGATGATGGTATCGTTGCCGGGCTGTTTAACACGCGAGATCCGTGAACACAGCAACAAGAAAAAGCACAAAGACACACACGTCGAGATTGTACGGGCTCACTACATTTGGCACATTGCACAACGAACGAACGAGCTGCCGATTAACAGTCGTCAATGAAAACGCACGCAAGTACATCAGCAGTGCAAGTGTCCTGTGAGAGCACGAGGAGCCAGGTGTGAGGGCACGAGGAGCCAGGTGTGAGGGCACGAGGTGTGAGGTGTGAGGGGCGCCAGGTGTGAGAGACGCCAGGTGTGAGAGATGCCAGGTGTGAGAGGCACCAGGTGTGAGGGGCGCCAGGTGTGAGGGGCACCAGGTGTGAGAGGCACCAGGTGTGAGAGGCACCAGGTGTGAGAGACGCCAGGTGTGAGGGGCACCAGGTGTGAGGGCGCCAGGTGTGAGAGACGCCAGGTGTGAGGGGCGCCAGGTGTGAGAGGCACCAGGTGTGAGAGACGCCAGGTGTGAGGGCACCAGGTGTGAGGGGCACCAGGTGTGAGGGCACCAGATGTGAGAGGCACCAGGTGTGAGGGGCACCAGGTGTGAGGGGCGCCAGGTGTGAGGGGCACCAGGTGTGAGGGGCACCAGGTGTGAGAGGCACCAGGTGTGAGGGGCACCAGATGTGAGAGACGCCAGGTGTGAGGGGCACCAGGTGTGAGAGACGCCAGGTGTGAGGGGCGCCAGGTGTGAGGGGCGCCAGGTGTGAGAGGCACCAGGTGTGAGAGACGCCAGGTGTGAGGGGCGCCAGGTGTGAGAGGCACCAGGTGTGAGAGACGCCAGGTGTGAGGGCACCAGGTGTGAGGGGCACCAGGTGTGAGGGGCGCCAGGTGTGAGAGGCACCAGGTGTGAGGGGCACCAGGTGTGAGAGGCACCAGGTGTGAGGGGCACCAGATGTGAGAGACGCCAGGTGTGAGGGGCACCAGGTGTGAGAGACGCCAGGTGTGAGGGGCGCCAGGTGTGAGGGGCGCCAGGTGTGAGGGGCACCAGGTGTGAGAGGCACCAGGTGTGAGGGGCACCAGGTGTGAGGGGCGCCAGGTGTGAGGGGCACCAGGTGTGAGGGGCGCCAGGTGTGAGAGACGCCAGGTGTGAGGGGCACCAGGTGTGAGGGGCACCAGGTGTGAGGGGCACCAGGTGTGAGGGGCACCAGGTGTGAGAGGCACCAGGTGTGAGGGGCACCAGGTGTGAGGGGCACCAGGTGTGAGGGGCACCAGATGTGAGAGACGCCAGGTGTGAGGGGCACCAGGTGTGAGAGACGCCAGGTGTGAGGGGCGCCAGGTGTGAGGGGCGCCAGGTGTGAGGGGCACCAGGTGTGAGGGGCACCAGATGTGAGAGACGCCAGGTGTGAGGGGCGCCAGGTGTGAGGGGCACCAGGTGTGAGGGGCGCCAGGTGTGAGAGACGCCAGGTGTGAGGGGCACCAGGTGTGAGGGGCACCAGGTGTGAGGGGCACCAGGTGTGAGAGGCACCAGGTGTGAGAGACGCCAGGTGTGAGGGGCGCCAGGTGTGAGGGGCACCAGGTGTGAGAGGCACCAGGTGTGAGAGGCACCAGGTGTGCACTGTTAGGCATTTAATGAAGAGGTAAACTGACATGGGTGAAGTTGCGGTGGGGTCACGGGTGCGGTGGGGGGGCAATGCCCCCCTAAACTGGGCACATTTATTTAGCTTCAGTATTCTTTGGGTCTTTCGGTAAAGTCACGTAGAACTAAAAATTTACAAAAATTTATAGAAACCAAATATTTGTGTTCTACGTGATTTTACCGAAATACTCAAAGAATATGGACTCCTGCAGTCACGAAAGCTTTAAGTTAAGATTGATTTTCAGTAATTAGCAATGAAGAAAAAACATAAATGTATGAATTATATGCACCCACTATCCCTGATGTGAGGGACAAGGCGAACGCTTGCCCCCCACCCCACCGAACACAGAAGTCAAACTCCGCCTCTGGGTAAACATTTATTAAATAGGTGAACATTTAATACAGAGGTGAACATTTAATGTCGAGGTGCACATTTAATGTCGAGGTGAACATGCCCACCTGCTGGCGGAAGTGCCTCGTTTTGAAAGAGTACAGCACACTCCCATCGGCCTCCACATTCAAGCAATTCACTTCTGAGCTTCGGGACACGTTGCCTGTACAGAGACACAGATCCCCGGTGTAGCCTTCGGCGCGCTGTTGGGGCAAGTGCTGCTATAGACGGCGACCGATGAAATCCGGCACGGCTACACGAGGGGGCGGTTACTCCGATGGAACTCTTGTTTGCATGTCACCAGGTAAGGTCCCGCTGATGTGCGTAGCTCTTTATCAGAAGCGACCTGGCCACACGTGATAGCCCAACGAAGCGGCTTGTCACGTGCAAATCTACAGCAACCAAAAACTCTAAACGCGCGTTTCTAAACGTGGAGAGAACAAACCGTAGGAGCCGCAGAAAAATCCACGCGACCACGGGGAGAGAGAGAGGCAGAATCCTCATGTACAGGCGTCAGGGTCGGGACCGAACCCACGACTTCCTGTATACCAGGCGAGGGAGTGAACATCTCCTGGCCACCGTGGCGCGCCCCACCGTGGGAGGTCCAGGACCGGTGCAGATAATCGTCACTCGTGCTGGCCGCGAGCGGGAATCGAACCCGGGTGGCCGAGTTCGTAGTGCAGCGCGCTGCCCGCTACCCACACACGCTGCGTAACGAACCCGGCGACCCGGGATCACTTCCCGCTCACGGCCACCGGCGGTGACGGCGAATATCTAAACCGGTCCCCCTGGGCCTTGTCTTAGGTCGACTCAGTCTTAAACGAGTGCCCGGTGCGGTGTGTCCATCGCCCATTGGGGAAACAAAGACGGCCGGGCGTGGTGCTGGTCACGCTACCCCCTTCCCCGGCGCTACTCGCGAACAGCGCTCGCCCCGACAGTCAGTCAGGGCCACGCGGTATGGCGGTGTGCTCAAATTAGCAGCATTGAGCCGTTCTGTGCACAATTCCCGTTCACAACCAGTGGTGTAAATTCTACATTCCTAGGGCGGGGGCGGGGAGGGTGAGTTTTATTCATAGGCGGTGCTGAGTTTATCGATCCTTGAGGGAGAGATGATGGGTTGAGTCGACCTGGGGTTAGAACTCGCTCGACCACTTCGCCACCGGGGCTCCGTGGACTGTGTGGAGTGTGTGGAGTGTGGAATGTGTGGAGTGTGTGGAATGTTAGTGAGTGTGGAATGTGTGGAGTGTGTGGAATGTTGGTGAGTGTTGGTGAGTGTGGAATGTGTGGAGTGTGTGGAATGTTAGTGAGTGTGGAATGTGTGGAGTGTGTGGAATGTTGGTGAGTGTGGAGTGTGAGGAGTGTGTGGAGTGTTGGTGAGTGTGGAGTGTGTGGAGTGTTGGTGAGTGTGCAGTGTGTGGAGTGTTGGTGAGTGTTGGTGAGTGTGGAATGTGTGGAGTGTGTGGAATGTTGGTGAGTGTTGGTGAGTGTGGAGTGTGTGGAGTGTTGGTGAGTATGGAATGTGTGGAGTGTGTGGAATGTTGGTGAGTGTTGGCGAGTGTGGAGTGTGTGGAGTGTGTGGAATGTTAGTGAGTGTGGAATGTGTGGAGTGTGTGGAATGTTGGTGAGTGTGGAGTGTGAGGAGTGTGTGGAGTGTTGGTGAGTGTGGAGTGTGTGGAGTGTTGGTGAGTGTGCAGTGTGTGGAGTGTTGGTGAGTGTTGGTGAGTGTGGAATGTGTGGAGTGTGTGGAATGTTGGTGAGTGTTGGTGAGTGTGGAGTGTGTGGAGTGTTGGTGAGTATGGAATGTGTGGAGTGTGTGGAATGTTGGTGAGTGTTGGCGAGTGTGGAGTGTGTGGAGTGTTGGTGAGTGTTGGTGAGTGTGGAGTGTGTGGAATGTTGGTGAGTGTTGGTGAGTGTGGAATGTGTGGAGTGTGTGGAATGTTGGTAAGTGTTGATGAGTGTGGAATGTGTGGAGTGTGTGGAATGTTGGTGAGTGTGGAGTGTGTGGAGTGTTGGTGAGTGTGGAGTGTGTGGAGTGTTGGTGAGTGTTGGTGAGTGTGGAATGTGTGGAGTGTGTGGAATGTTGGTGAGTGTTGGTGAGTGTGGAGTGTGTGGAGTGTTGGTGAGTATGGAATGTGTGGAGTGTGTGGAATGTTGGTGAGTGTTGGTGAGTGTGGAGTGTGTGGAGTGTTAGTGAGTGTTGGTGAGTGTGGAGTGTGTGGAATGTTGGTGAGTGTTGGTGAGTGTGGAATGTGTGGAGTGTGTGGAATGTTGGTGAGTGTGGAGTGTGAGGAGTGTGTGGAGTGTTGGTGAGTGTGGAGTGTGTGGAGTGTTGGTGAGTGTGGAGTGTGTGGAGTGTTGGTGAGTGTTGGTGAGTGTGGAGTGTGTGGAGTGTGTGGAGTGTTGGTGAGTGTGGAATGTGCGGAGTGTGTGGAATGTTGGTGAGTGTTGGTGAGTGTGGAATGTGTGGAGTGTGTGGAATGTTGGTGAGTGTTGGTGAGTGTGGAGTGTGTGGAGTGTTGGTGAGTGTGGAATGTGTGGAGTGTGTGGAATGTTGGTGAGTGTTGGTGAGTGTGGAGTGTGTGGAATGTTGGTGAGTGTTGGTGAGTGTGGAATGTGTGGAGTGTGTGGAATATTGGTGAGTGTTGGTGAGTGTGGAATGTGTGGAGTGTGTGGAATGTTGGTGAGTGTGGAGTGTGAGGAGTGTGTGGAGTGTTGGTGAGTGTGGAGTGTGTGGAGTGTTGGTGAGTGTGGAGTGTGTGGAGTGTTGGTGAGTGTTGGTGAGTGTGGAATGTGTGGAGTGTGTGGAATGTTGGTGAGTGTTGGTGAGTGTGGAGTGTGTGGAGTGTGTGGAGTGTTGGTGAGTGTGGAATGTGTGGAGTGTGTGGAATGTTGGTGAGTGTTGGTGAGTGTGGAGTGTGTGGAGTGTTGGTGAGTGTTGGTGAGTGTGGAGTGTGTGGAATGTTGGTGAGTGTTGGTGAGTGTGGAGTGTGTGAAATGTTGGTGAGTGTGGAATGTGTGGAGTGTCGGTGAGTGTTGGTGAGTGTGGAGTGTGTGGAGTGTTGATGAGTGTTGGTGAGTGTGGAGTGTGTGGAGTGTGTGGAGTGTGTGGAATGTATGGAGTGTGTGGAATGTTGGTGAGTGTGGAGTTTTGGTGAGTGTGGAGTGTTCGTGAGTGTGGAGTGTGAGGAGTGTTTCAGGGTGGTCGTGTTGGGTGTAGGGAGTGTGAGGAGTGTTTTGGTGTAGTAGTAGTAGTAGTCGTGTTGGTGAGTGTGTGGTGAGTGTGGAGTGTGAGGAGTGTTTCGGGGTAGTCGTGTTGGGGTGTAGGGAGTGTGAAGAGTGTTTCAGGGTAGTCGTGTTGGGGTGTAGGTAGTGAGGAGTGTTTCGGGGTAGTCGTGTTGGGGTCTAGGGAGTGTGAGGAGTGTTTCGGAGTCTAGGGAGTGTGAGGAGTGTTTCGGGGTAGTCGTGTTGGGGTGTAGGGAGTGTGAGGAGTGTTTCAGGGTAGTCGTGTAGGGAGTCGTTACCCGCTCCGTGCGCGAGGGCTCTGCTGGCGGCCGTGCGCAGAGCGAGGTAGCAGTCCATGGCGTACATGGCGTGTCGTCCACCCCACCGCGTGTCGTCCACCCCACCGCGTGTCGTCCACCCCGCCGCGTGTCGTCCACCCCGCCGCGTGTCGTCCACCCCACCGCGTGTCGTCCAGCAGCCCGCGTGCGAGAGGCGTCGTCCCGCGTGCTGTGGGAGACTGCGGATCGCCACAGCGCCTGTGTCCAGAGACAGAGAGGAGGGGGGAGGGGCGTCGAGGCGAGCGAGTGGCGAGCCCCTGATGTCCTGCTGCTCCTGCTGAGCACACAAGCCGCAACCCCCATCCAGACGGGATTCTTAAGGAACTGTTTTAGCCGCGGTGTCAAAACCTTCAATCACGCGACGCGTCCAGTTTACGAGGTGCCCCCCCCACCGCCTCCCCCCACCGCCTCCCCCCACCTCTCTTTGTGTTATTGCCTTGCCTCGTGGCATTTTGGTTGAAGAAGCCGCAACATCTCCCTGTGTGAAATCGCGGGTGGGCGCTAATGACTGCGGTGTGCCGGATACATTTATCGGCGCTGCGATACTTTTCACGCGCGCCTGTGTGTGTCGGTGTGTGTGTGTCGGTGTGTGTGTGTCGGTGTGTGTGTGTGTGTCGGTGTGTGTGTGTGTCGGTGTGTGTGTCGGTGTGTGTGCGTCGATGTGTGTCAGTGTGTGTGTCGGTGTGTGTCGATATGTGTGTGTATGTGTGTATGTCGGTGTATGTGTGTCGGTGTGTGTGTGTTGGTGTGTGTTGGTGTGTGTGTGTCGGCGTGTGTTGGTGTGTCGGTGTGTGTGTGTCGGTGTGTGTTGATATGTGTGTGTATGTGTGTATGTCGGTGTATGTGTGTCGGTGTGTGTGTGTGTTGGTGTGTGTTGGTGTGTCGGTGCGTGTGTGTCGGTGTGTGTCGGTGTGTGTGTGTATGTGTGTGTGTCGGTGTGTGTGGAGTGGTGGTGTAGCGGTGTGTGTGTATGTGTGTGTGTGTATGTGTGTGTCGGTGTGTGTGGAGTGGTTGGCGTAGCGGTTAGCGCTATGAACCTGGCCACCCGAGTTCGATTCCCGCTCACGGCCAACACCGGTGACGATTATCTGAACCGGCCCTGGGCCTCCCCTAGATCGACTCAGCCTCAAACGAGTGCCTGGTGTGGTGTGTAAACATCGCAACTAGGGAGACGAAGGCGAGCGGGCGTGGTGCTGGTCACCCACCCCCTCGTGTGCCGTGCCGGCCTTTATAGGTGCTGCTCGCTAACAGCCCTTGCCCCAACAGTCTGTGTGGGCTACACGGGGGGTGGGGGGGGGGGTCTTTGTCTTTGCGAACTGTCCGGGCTAAACGCACTGATCCTGACACTCCGCGCTACCGGGGTTGGATCCCCAGCTATGGGTGTGTGAGTTCAGCGGCGGTTGGTGTAACCAAGAGTAGCGGGAAGACAAAGGTGGCCGGGCCTGGTGCTTGCTACCACCCCCCACGCTCCCTCATGCACTGTTAGGGTCTGAATAGGCGCTCGCTAACAGCACTTGCGATACGGCTACAGATTTGGCGACAGGGGAGATCCTAAACTTTTGAAGTTTAGTTTCGTTTGTTGCATTGAAGTAAAAAACGTCGAAGCGATCATCTGCTGACTGAGCATTGAGGTAGTGCCCAACTTCCGTTTACAGTCCTGAGTGGTGGAAGTTCCACACTCCTATGGCAGGGGTAACACCAATACATATGGCAAACACTGTCGACTCCCACAAAGTGTACTATTTTATCAACCCCGGAGGAAGTCAGAATGAGCTGTGTCAACTTCCAGCAGAAGTGTATTTCCGAGTATGTATGTTGAACTTCTTTCGTACCGTACGTAGCCAAGCGTGCTAATTGGCAGCGCGGGGAAGGACAATAACACTAAACACACACGAAAGGTCCTAACATCGGAAGTGAAGCGCGTTCCAGACGATGACCGGAGGGAGGTGGCGTGATGGTGGCTTGTTGCTCCTTGACGGGATCAGCGAGGTGTCGTGGTTCATTCGTGACGAGCGGCGACCTTCCAACGATGCGATTCGTGCGGCATAGCGGGAAGCCGCACGGACACGTGGTGGCTCTCCGTGTGTTACATCCCAGCTGCCTGCCCGACACTCAACAAGTCAGCGCCGTTGACCTCTGACCCTCCCTGGTGGTGGTGAGACGATGCGTACACCCGAGTGAAACTTTAGCCAAGCGCCTTCCCTGCGATGCGCTTACTGGCAGCACTCTGGTAAATAAGTGTTTCACGGCTTGAGATTGACCTTTGCACTCGCTGCACGCTGCCCGTGTTTTCTTGCCAAGAGTCGTCCACAACGATCCCTCGGGGCCTCGCGACGACACTTTGTGAACCGCCATCTCGTGGTAGAAATAAAACCTCAAACACCCCCCCCCCGGCTCGCCGGTAAACAATGACATGCCGTGCCGTAGCAACAGTGGACACGCGTGCGGGAATGCGAGACATTCCTAAGCACACGATGGGACAGGAGCTTGGTATAAACTCTGTGATCTGAGCACGCATTGCCACGTTGGTGTTGTCACGATTAAAGATGACTTCACTCCGAGAGTGTTCCAATCGGCGCGTGCGGATCAGCTGCGGGGACGCGGATCGGAGCCTGGGACAGCGGCAGAGAGAGCCTAACACGGCCTGCAGAGCGGTGCACGCTGGGAAGTGAGCCGAGGTGGAGAAAGGAAACAGACGACTCAGAGCGGGTGAAGCTTTGAGAAGTCACGTGATGATTATGATGATGAGCCATTCAACTGAAACCAGGTAAGGCCCACTGAGCTACATAGCAGAAGCAACCTGGCCACAAATGATAGCTCAACGAAGTGGCTTATCGTCATGTGGAAATGTATAGCAACCAAATACTCTAAACGCGTGTTGATTCTGAATGTGGAGCGAAAAAACCAGAGGACCTGGAGAAAAATCCACGCGGCCACGGGGAGAGAGACACGCAAACTCCAAGTATACAGCAGCAGCAGGCGTCAGGGTCGGGATCGAACCCACGACCTCCTGCGAACCAGGCGAGGTAGTCAACATCTCCTAGCCACCCTGATGATGATGATGAGAGAGAGACACGCAATCTCCAAATATACAGCAGCAGCAGCAGGCGTCAGGGTCGGGATCGAACACACGACCTCCTGCATACCAGGCGAGGTAGTCAACATCTCCAAGCCACCGCGGCACCTCGGGTGAGACCGGGGAAGTAACGGCAGCTAAAGGCCCAGCCAAGAGGACGACTACGGCGGAGACGGAGCGCCAGGGATCCCCTCATGAGCAGGAGTGAGCAGGAGTGAGATGGAGTGCGACACAGCCACACCACGAGTCACGGTGTCGATGTGTGGAGGCTTTCGTCCAGCAGTGCATAGGCCACGGCTGCGGCTGCTGCTGATGATGAAGTGCATTAAAGTAATTCGAAAGTACAAAACATTAAATTGCATACGAAGTAGGAGGCTTTCACGACCGATGTTATCTACAACAGAGGTTTTTGTTGGAGGTTAAATCGCGTAAATATAAATGTGTCGTTAAACCCGCCACCACCCGACACTGCCAATTAGTAAGGTTTGTTACGTAAACATAACGTGGGCAATAAGTTACTAGTTCAGCGCGCCGGTGTGTTGGAGAGTAAACCCACAACATTGACCATTGGAAATGTCGAGAGCGGGTGGCGGGTTCAACGTCACATTTATATTGACGCGATGAATCCATCCCAGAATGGAAGAACACAAGACGAGCACAAGAAACAAAGTGTATAAGAGTGTATTGTGTTTAAATATCGCGTGTAGTGTACCGTAGTCAAATACGCACGGATATTTAACGAACACAACCTTGGACAACGCATCAGCACTAAGCCCATCTCGATAAAATTGGTTACCGCTTCGTAGGAATCCAAACGTTGTCGTCCTGAATGACCCGCCCCGGCCATAGGAATGTGGAATGTCCAGGTGTGGCTGAGCGCTGCCACGGGTGATGAGCGCCACCTGGTGGTGGTGATGGTGGTGGTGATGGTGGTGGTGATGGTGGTGGTGGTGATGGTGGTGGTGATGGTGGTGGTGGTGATGATGGTGGTGGTGGTGATGGTGGTGGTGATGATGGTGATGGTGGTGGTGATGGTGGTGATGATGATGGTGGTGATAGTGGTGGTGGTGATGGTGGTGGTGATGGTGGTGGTGATGGTGGTGGTGGTGATGGTGGTGATGGTGATGGTGGTGATGGTGGTGATGGTGATGGTGGTGATGATGGTGGTGATGGTGGTGATGGTGGTGGTGATGGTGGTGGTGGTGATGGTGGTGGTGATGGTGATGATGATGGTGGTGATGGTGGTGGTGATGGTGGTGGTGATGGTGGTGGTGATGGTGATGGTGGTGGTGATGGTGATGATGATGGTGGTGATGGTGGTGATGGTGATGGTGGTGATGGTGATGATGATGATGGTGGTGATGGTGGTGATGGTGATGGTGGTGATGGTGGTGGTGGTGATGATGGTGGTGATGGTGATGATGATGGTGGTGATAGTGGTGGTGGTGGTGGTGATGGTGGTGGTGGTGATGGTGGTGGTGGTGATGGTGGTGGTGGTGATGGTGGTGGTGATAGTGGTGGTGGTGATGGTGGTGGTGAAGCGGCTGTGTCGCGACGCGTCCCATTGCAATGAGACTGTAGGAGAGCGTTAATGATGCCGCTCATTGTACAGGACTACAGATAGAGACTAAGATACAAAGACCAGCATCCCTCTAGCCCCTAACAGGGCGCCACAAGATGTTAACTACCTCGCCAGGTATGCAGGAGGTCGTGGGTTCGATCCCGACTCTGACACCTGTTGCTGCTGCTCCTGTATATTTGGTGTTTACGGTGTCTCTCTCTGCGTCCTCCGATACATTTAGAATCAACGTCGACGCCTTTCGAGTATTTGGCTGCTATACATTCCCACGTGATGATAGCCCACTTTGTCGAGCTTTAATTTGTGATGGCCATTTCGCTTCTACAAAAATATAGCCATATAGCTCAGTGGGCCTTAACTTGGAAAAGTCTAAATATATATTTGCAAAGTCACCTGAGGGATCACTCTCCTACCAGTAGGGGGAAATGATTGCTGCTGCAGCTGCTGCTGTGTGAGAGAAATCGTGGTCAGCGGCGGTGTTAGCGCGCTGCGCTCCGAACCCAGCGAACCCAGCGACCTGGGAATCGAACCCAGCGACCTGGGTTCGATTCCCGCTCACGGCCAACATCGGTGACCACTATCTGAACCGGTTCTGGGCCTCCCCTAGGTCGACTCAGCCTTAAATGAGTACCTTGTGCGATGTGTAAACATCGTCACTAGGGATGCAAAGGCGGTCGGGCGTGGTGCTGGCCACCCACCCATTCGTGTCTCGTGCCGGCCTTCATAGGCGCACCGTTAACATCACTTGCCCCAACAGCCTGCCAGTGCCATACGGGGAGAATCTTTGTAGATGTGTGTGTAATGACCGAAATTCCAGACCACTCACCCTAAGTAAACAGACTACCAGAAGTAGGAAAAGGCCTCCGATTGGCACAGAGAGGCCTCCAGAGTGATTGGTCGGGAGGCAAGGCCTCCCATTGGCACAGAGAAGCCTCCAGAGTGATTGGTCGGGAGGCAAGGCCTCCGATTGGCACAGAGAGGCCTCCAGAGTGATTGGTCGGGAGGCAAGGCCTCCGATTGGCACAGAGAGGCCTCCAGAGTGATTGGTGGGGAGCCAAGGCCTCCGATTGGCACAGAGAGGCCTCCAGAGTGATTGGTGGGGAGCCAAGGCCTCCGATTGGCACAGAGAGGTCTCCAGAGTGATTGGTCGGGAGGCAAGATTCAAATGGATTTGGGGGGGAGATTTGAATTGGGAAAGGCGGGAAGCGAAGGTAGACTCTAAAGACAACGGTTGGCAACACAAATTGGGGGAGAAGGACGAGGATTGGATGAGGAGAGTGGGGTGAGAGAAGGTTCGAGAAAGAAGGCGAGGGGAAATGAAAGGGGAGAGCACAAGGGGGAGAGGACATTCGAGTGAAGACGGGAGTCTGAGACAAGGACAAGTCTAGAGAGTGCTGTATCCAAAAAAAGGCACTTCAAAGTTACGTGTCGGTGTCTTTACAACCGGTGTCAGAAGAGTGGGGTACCTGACTAAGAATGTCGCGCCCATGCTGACGAAGGAACCCACTGACGACGTCCGACGACGAGGAAGTCTTCCAGCAGAATGTCCCGGGCGAAGAGGACCTGGAGACTCACCTCAAAACCGCGAGAGAGATTGTGGCGGCGCCGATGGTAACAATGACGAGCCAGCCGCAGCAACCGGAGTGGCTGCCGAACCAAGCGCCGCTTGCCACCCACAGGGCTGGGAGCAGCCCAGCTCGTGGTGCAGCTCGCCGGCAAGGAGGGGAGACCGGGAGCGGCAGAGATGGCTGCAGGAACGCGGAATCGGCGGTTGGAACCGTCCCGCCAACAGCAGCGGGAGCCGAGGAACCAGCAACGCTCGATGCAGCAGCGGCAGGAACAGCGATGGTCAGGGCACAATCACGGGAGGTGGTTCCCTCGGTGTGGGAGAGAGCGACCGACAAACCTCGCCGGATGGGGCTGATCAAGGAGTTCGTGGTGGTGGGAGGCAACTGGGGAGTCTTCACCAGGCGGTTCGAGGTGGCCTACCAAGCCTTAGACTGGACGGAGGAGGCATTGAAGGCTCTGCCCACAACCCAGAACGATGAAGCCTTCACTACCTTCATACCGGCAGAGCGTAGGGCTACACTACAAGCAACCTGCCGCGAGATGGCTGGGGTCTCGGTTTGTGTCTGGTGGTGCCCACATCTGTGCGAGGCAGGTTGATGCGGGTAGTTCATGCAAACAAACTACTACATCTGGGGGTGCCGGAAGACGCTGTTGACCCTGCAACGTGATTATTACTGGCCGTGTATGTCAGCTGATGTCAATGACTTGGTCGCAGGTTGCACAGAGTGTGCACATTGGTAACCACCAGCAAACAGGTCACAGCCTCCCTTACAGCCCATTGGTTTTTTAGAGTGAACGAATTGGTCGCTCTCGATATTCTCGGTGCTTTTCCATGCTCACCAAGTGGGGAATCAATTTCTCCTGGTGGGGGTCGAATATTTCACACGGTGGCCGATGGCCTGGCCGCTGCCTGACCAGATGGCAGCATAAATTACTGATGTGTTCCTTCACGGGTTTGTGATGGACAAAGGCCCTCCAGAGCAGCTCCTCACCAACCAGGGACGACATTTTTCGTCAAAACTTCTGAGAGAGGTCTGCGACACGCTGGGCACAAAGAAAGTACGCACTTCTCCATACCACCCTCAAAC